TACGCAGAGGGACCTGGACTTTCTTGTACAAATGCCAGGGTTGAAATGACTTTTTATAAAGAATGTGGAGTATCTGTCATCTTATTTGACTTGCAGGCTTGGAAGATATTAGTCTTATCTAACTGTTAGATTTGACTTATAGCTATGGGAGGTTAAAAAGCTCACCAGTTTTCAAGGCAAATTAGTGACTACTACACAGAAAAAGGGCAGAAGAAAGTTTATCTTGGAAATTGTTTGCAAGCCACTCAGTGCTAAATACACAGCAATGAACCCATGGAATTCAGACTTGTTTATCCATATTAAATAATCTTTATCCTCATGGCCTGAATAGCAAGAAAGCAAAAGCAATTAATGAAACTAAGACAGAAAGAAGATGAAAAAATTAACTGTTGTTGTTATAGTTGACTCTCACTCCTAGATAGTGGATGTCAAAGCACCAACATCTGTTTATGTCCATGCCTTTTTTTATTTATTTATGTTTACCGTCTTGAATATCTGTCAAGTTGACTGAAGGTAATACTGCCCTTGCTCTGTCTCAATGGATATAAGAAGATATAAATGGATGTTTTTATCTCCCACCTCTCTGTAAATAGAGAAGTCTTCCTGAAACAAAGGAAAAAAGTCCTGAAAAAAGTCTTCTTGGGACCCTCAAAAGTGACTTAGAATGTGGATCTGACATTTTGAAAGCTGTGTCTTATAAAAAGCAGGCATCCCTGAACTCTGACCCTGGCATTCTAAGGAAAATCTCAACAGTCATTTATTAAAGAAGGGTTTTACTTCTAAACATAAATTGACACTCCTGTTCCAGGCTTTCCAAATTTGGAAAGTTAGCATAAGTGGTATGCATGCACTTTAAAACACCACACAACATGGAAGCATTTTGATTGTCTGTCCTTTTTAGATATCGCTCTGTTTCCCATTCTTCTCCTGCATTCTTAGAAGATATAACAGATTAAGCCTAAATCACAACTACTCACCAGCTTCCTAGGATACTTATGCCTCTCTCAAGCATAAAATTCCTTTCATGAGATCTACTTGCTCCCCAGGTAGGACTAGGACAGGACTAGGATGACAAAACACACTCTACTCCACAGCAGCTTCTATGCAAAAGAGGTTTCAGCTGACATCGGGTTTTATTTCTTATAATTCTAATAATTATTGGAAATAACGAAGGCATAATAGGTATACTTTCACCAGCACAGCTTCGTTCCTTTCTATCATTCTTTCTAAAAACTGAGAGCACAAAAAGGAAAAAAGCTCACTATTTTTACAAAGACGAGTATATTTTGCCAAGTCTTTATTCACACCACTTGCTTATAAGGGTGTTTTCCTAAAGTTCCAGTGTTTAGCCTCAGCTAGAAAGGGAATGTAAGGTGCTATTAACATTTCTAAAGGCCATCTCATTTTCCAGACTACAACACGCTACAAATTAATCTGTCAATAAATTTGGATGCATGAGCAAGTTCTTCCCCTTTGTTGGGTTGCTGTGCACCACTAGAAATGTTTTGGTTTCCATGGAAGAGTGGGGCACATATTTCTTAAGACCATCTGGACACCACACCTCACGGTTTCACAAGCTCAGCCCAAGCGTTGGACAGCGATGAAGCACCAATTCTCTGGTAGAACTCTAAGCCTTCCTCCAGCAGCACTGACTTTGTTACAAGGTGGCAGGGACATGGATACATTGTGAATCATCCTTAATTGCATCCTCAAATCATCAACCATTTGGGTTTAGCAGAGGTAGGTGGGACCCAAGGGTCCCCTCTGGTCCACTGAAACACACACACGGGCTTGGTGGGCACATCAGGATTTGCCTTGGGCAATGAATGGGAGCTGACTGTAAGTCTCTAAATGGAAAGCAAACACAAAACCAAACCAACAACATTTGGCACGTTGGTGTTTTTTTCACTTTGATGCAAACAAAAAGCAGAAGTCACAACATGCATATAAACTTGCTAGTGACAGAATAGCTCTGATTAAAATAACTCTTGCTCTTCAAATTACCCAGAAGGTTGAAGACATGCAGACATGAATTTGCTGCCAATGAGCGGCTAAAGACCTCATAGCCTGATTTTTAGAGTACCATCCATCAACGCTGTGTGCTTAGTGTAGGGAATGTAGGAAATATGGCCATTTCTCCCTTTCCCCCAGGTAGCACGTCACCACTTCCCAGTAGCACAATCAGTAAGGTACACAACCCTAAGAGTAATAAAGGTGCTTCAGAACCCCAGAAGTACATAGAAACACTAATGAATCTGCTCAGGCAGACAGCCTCAGCTCACCACAGGTAACATCACTGCTCTATGTAAAGTGTGCTCCTTCATTGGAAGTGGCAAACCTCCCTTTTCTTCAAACAATGTTCCTTACCCGAGTGCACTCACGGTGAGGTTGCTAGGAAGGGTCAAGAATACATTCACATTTCTTAATTCTAGATCTGATTATTTCAACGCCTGCATTCATGCATCCATACAGTTCCAGGTATACCATGCTCAGACAAAACAAGCCAGACCTTGTAGACCTATTGGCAGTTTTCGAAGGGCTTAGCCAAGGTAGCAAACAATGCAAGAGATGCATTTTGGAGAACAGATTCAAAATAGTTTGACAATGGGGAAGGGTGAGGGGAGAAAAAGTAACGCTGGGAGAGTCTCCCACTGCACAGAATTAGGAATAATAGCAAGGAACTCTCCCACTCATTACAATAGCATGGTGAAACATTTCTATTCATGCAGCAACACAGATAACTCCTACCAGGAACTGAGAATGCAGCAAACTCAGCAAAAGGAAAAAAAAAGGGTTTCTTTCACAGTCCAGATTAGCAATTCAATAACAAGGTATAGGCCATGTAAATATCAAACTTGCTTTTCTTTTTTTGCTGGTGAGGACCTGAACTGAATGTTAGAGGTGTGAAGTTACACAAACAGAATTTCACAAAACAATGGGATCAAAAACCTCAGACTTACAAAAAAAACGATGCTTTCCTATCACCCAGATAACACAAACCCAAACAAGAGAAACTGCTAACAGCCGTAGAATGATTTCATTACAGCTACACTGGTTTGCTGGACAATGTGGAAAAAGTTCAAGCTATATCAAATATTATGACAAACTCACGTCATGTTTTAGCCAGCAGATCCCAACCTGTTCCTAGCTGCAGCTCCTCTTACAGCTTGATTAACTCAGACAATTCTATATTTCTGGGTGATACAGAGAAATCAGAAACCTGACAATTCAGGGAACTGCTGTTCTGTGCTGAAGTACTGAAGTTCAGTTTCCAGAACTGAAATATAGTCCAGATAGCTATCTCAATAATTAGCGGTTTCATCCCAAAACCTCATTATTGATAAAATTTGATTATTGCTTTACTAACTCTGCTCTCAACAGCAGGGACAAGGTGATGATTTTTCTCTTCTAATCTTGTTTGATATGGCTGCAAGGGTGCTGACTCATATGTGACCCTGAATTGGGGCACACATCTCAACTTTATCAGTCTCAAACACAAAATACCAAAACCTTCACAGTGATCTGTCAGGCTGTGGGCTGCAGAACTCAGAAGATGTATGTTCAACCACCTCCTGCTGTAGACGCAATACTCTCTGGGAGGAAAGGAGGGCAGGCAGATGGTGGAGGTTACTGTTCAGACATATCCTAGCTGGGTTGGCCATCTTATCAGAATCAGAACCTTGCAGCCAAACTGGACAACTTTTTCTGGTTACAACCTGTTGGATTTGAGGTAACATATTATTCAGCAACAATCACCCCACCTACCTTTACATGCCTTTCCCCCTTTTCCCCCCTAGAATGAGCTTCAATAAGATGTAAAACATACGCTGTTCTCCCCACCTATTCTATTTTTAGGAATCTCCTTTTATTCTCTCAGCTTCTATGCTTCTGCTTCTCCCTTAGCTCCACGGACGTTTCTTTCTTCTTCCCTGTCCCCTAAACCTCCCCATTTCCATCAGGGTTTCACCTAGAACAATTCACACCCCATCAGCACGAACCACAACACGGGCTTCCAACTCGCACGTAACACTCCAAGCAAAAGGCATTGTGAGCCTTCATAGCTGAGGTTTAGGGTTCACATCAGGAACCAGACAGATGTGGAAAGAGCAGCTCCCGACACATGCTTCAGGATGGCTGCAGATGCAGAAACAAAGCATGATGTCAACTGACACTCGCGCTGTAGTAGGTTCCATGGGATGAACGCGGCATGCCCAGAGGTGGGGCGGAAATCACAGCACGGCTCGCTCCGGGCAGAAAGGCGGCCGGCACCATTACCTTGCCGATGGCACCGAGACAATGAAGGCGAACGCTTAGCGAGGGCACACTGACCAAGTAGGGAGGGACGAACGCGATCGCAGGGGAGACGAGCAAAGCCCCACGGCCGCCCCAGAACCAACCTCCTCCCTGAGTACCGCCGCACGGCGGGACTCGCCCCGTACCTCCGGCCGGGCCGGGCAGCGGGGGCAGCCGGGCCCGGGGTTGCCGCCGCCCAGCACAGCACAGCCCAGCCCAACCCAACCCAGCATAGCCCCGGGCGGTGACAGTGCGCTCGAGGCCCGCGGAGCGGCGAGGCCCTGCACCCCTCAGCCTCCTCCCCAGCTCTCCTCCCGGTCCCGAGGCCCCGCAGCCTCCCGGGAGGAAACCGGACCCACCTGAGCGGCGCCCGCCGGCCACCAGGCCCCGCCGCAGCCCCTGCCCAGCCCGGCGGCCGCCCGCAGCTACCGGCTCCCGCAGGCCCCGCCCCGCGCCTGGCTCCCCCCAGCGGCCGGCGAGCGGCGCTGCCCCCTCCCGCGGCCCCCCGCGCCCGGCGGGGCCCCTCACCTGCCCGTCAGCGCCGCGGCGAGCTCCGTCGCCTCCGCCTCTCCCTCCCACCCCGCCGTCCCCTCGCGGCCGCGCGGCGCCCCGCCTCCCCCAGTCGGCCTCCCTTGCCCTCCCCTCCGCGTCCGCCCGCAGGAAGTTTGTCCCCTCTCTCTCGCCGTAGCGGTGCCCGCCCCCGTCGCCCCTCCTGCACGCGCGGGAGCTGCGAACGGCGGCGGCGGCAGGCGCGCGGCCCGGCCTGACCCAGGTACGGCGTCCTCAGCCGTTTCCGGCGGGGCCGCTCGCGGGGCGGCCGTTGGCGGGAGCGGGCAACGGGCTGTCCCCTCAGCGACCCCGGCCGGGTATCTGCGGGGAATGATATTGTCGCTTTTCACCATGCAGACCATTAGGCTGTCAGGGTGTTCGCTCTATCTCTGCGCCGGATAAAGCAATTTTTGCATAGCAAATTATTCGGCTTATGAAACAGTTTAGCGTCCCCAGACGAGAGAATGCTCCACAAAAGCACATATATGCATTTCGAGTTCACTATTTGTATTTTTTTTTCGTGTTAGGGCGATAGGAACCTTAAGTTACCTAGGTAGCATCCTTTGTTGTGCTTGGTCAGTCAGGCAGTGCGGGCCTGGCACAGGCTGCCCAGAGAAACCTTCTGAGAACACTACTGGTTACAATGACAATAATTCCGTGTAAATGATAATTGATAAAGAATGATCACGGTCACAAATGTAGTAAATGGTGATTCCTAGTTGTCCGATGGTAAACTGCTTTTACCATGCTCTATACAGAACTAAAATATTTGAACTTGAACTTTTAGCATTTGAAGATAATTTGAGAGTAAGGCATTTTTAGTGCTAATTTATGTGTCCAGCAGTGTCCTAGCACTGTCTTTTGGCACTTCTCTAGCCAATAGCTGATGATTATTATCTATCCCAGGGTGAATGTTTGAGATGCGTTAAGAGAGTGAGTGAGGAACCAGCATTCTGCTGAGGAGTGGAAGCCTTGCCTTCCCAAGCTCCTGGCTCTGTGTTAATGGAGATTTAGAATTCCAATTGCAGAATTAACTTCAGGAGTCCTGCTTTACTGATCTTGAAATTGAAGTTCATAGAATCACAGAAAGGCCTGAGTTGAAAAGGACCACAACGATCATCCAGTTTCAAACCCCCTGCTATGTGCAGGGTCACCAACCACCAGACCAGGCTGCCCAGAGCCACATCCAGCCTGGCCTTGAATGCCTCCAGGGATGGGGCATCCACAGCCTCCTTGGGCGACCTGTTCCAGTGTGCCACCACCCTCTGTGTGAAAAACTGCCTCCTATTATCTAACCTAAATCTCCCCGTCTCAGTTTAAAACCATTCCCCCTTGTCCTATCATTATCCACCCTCATAAACAGACATAGCCCCTTCCTGTTTATGTGCTCCCTTCAAGTACTGGAAGGCCACACTGAGGTCTCCCCAGGGCCTTCTCTTCTCCAAGCCCATTTCCCTCAACCTTTCTTCATAGGAGAGGTGTTCCAGCCCCATCGTGCTCTGAAAGCTGCTTGGAGACATAGAGCCTCACTGCATTTCAACAAATTGATGAAAAATATCACATTGCACTGTTAGAACGTTTGGTTTAAATAAGATCCGTGGCTGAAACAAACTGTTGTGCAAGCAAGGCCTGGAACTAGCATCATCCATCTCATTCACACAAGCTGTAGAGTAAATGATAACTTAAATACAGGCTATGGACATATTTTATCTGTCCCTTACTAGAATTTTCTAATGGCAAGATTCTATTGAAATCTCTCCATTAGATTGAAACCATATGATACAATGCTGTTTTTAGCAGAATTCTGCACTTCCTCATTCTTGTTCAGATCGACACCCATACTTCAGTCAGTTTCATTCAAGGTGTATCTCTGTATAGAATGTAGGCTGACAGTAGTGCATACCTTGTAAAAGCTTTAAAGACTTAATAGTGGTTTCATTTAAAGCAGTTTTCCTTCGGAACGCCACCCACCTGCTGTGTGTGTAGATTCTTGGCCTACTGCTCGCAGGGCAAATGCACACATTTCTTATATTGCCTTTTCCCTCCAAGGGCTTTATACTGATTAAGATCTGATTTAATCTGCATAGAGTGAAAATATACATATAGTATTCTTCAAACTTTGTTTCGCTCCACCACTCACCACAGATACTATTTTTTTATTTCTCTCCAAGTGTAAACACTTTGCTCAAAAAGGGCAGTAACTTTCTTAAACCGTGTGCATCTTCTAGTAATATTAACTTCTACATGTTCTCTTCTGAATCCAAATGTATTTCCCATAAATTGCATTTAACTTCTGATTGAAACACTTTCAATTGTACAAGATCTGTGCAATTATACAGCTTCTGGACAGAAGGTAAATAATGATTGCCAACAAAAAGAGAATTCTAGCTACACCTGACATAATTATCAGTGTTTGTACTTGCCAAGGGTACAGCTGGTATCCCTTTTTTGAGATGTATTTAGCGAGTCCTTAGTAATACTTCCTTATTTAGAGACTAGAAAAACAACTTCTTTCAAAAAATCTGAACATGAAGTACAGGAGCAAGAAGTAATACTAGCCAGGCTCCTACAGGCTATCACATATCACTGTCTGGAGGATTTTAAACCTTTTGTATCTGTTCTAATATCCCCAGCTGTCTCACTGACATACATTGCGCGTTGACTTCCTTTGTGCTGTGTACAGAAGACTTACAGACTGATGGGCTAAAACCACTTGCACTCAGTATTTGTGCAAATACAGTAAAAGATTGCCTCTGTGGACTTCTGTAGAAGTGTTGCTGTGGCTCCCTCGTGCTCCTGTCATGCAGGCACTCAACAGGACAACCACTTCTGTAGCAGCACAGCAGAGTGGTAGCAGGGTTACCATCAGGTGCTTGTTGGGTACTGGCTTGGAAAAGGGTGCCATCTACTGAATTATTGGCACAACTTCTTCATGTTGTTGGAGGTTCTGTATGTTTTCCAGCTCTGCGTGGTTTGTGTGATGCCATCATAACTCAAGGCAGTCGATGATTACAGTCAGTAATCTAAAATGAAGATGGACAAGTCGGGTTATAGACAAGTACAACTTTAGAAATCTCCTTCTGCTTTTTATCAAAGTGTTAATGGATTTGGAAGGTGATGTAGGAAGACACTGCTGGGGAATCTGAACAATTGAGGTGTTTTTGTTTTTCTTACCTAAAATGGTACAATGCATTCATGTTCATCTAAAAGGAATAAAAATACATCATTTTTACCTGCTTAATATTTAGAATAAAGACTCACAACATTTTTTTGTTGTTCTAGGCTCTGATCTTACACAAGAGCACAACAGTGCCTCTGCCTGTAGGATGAAGCTAGTCATTTCTGTCTATTTCTGTCTACTACACAGTAGGTTTTTAAGAAGAATTTTAACTGCTATGAAACAGCATCAGAAAACAAATTTCCACCTGGTCCTGCAGCAGTTTCACAGAAGTATGCACTAAAATATGATTGGTATTACTGTATTGTCCAATATGTTGCAGTACGTTGCTATACTTAGCGTGCAGTGGACTTTTTTGATGTGTTTTTGTATGGATAGTTGACTCTTATTTTCATTAATTGTATTTTCTTTTGTCTTTAGGGATGCCTGCAAGGCAAGGGAAGGACAGCGAAAGCCATGTCAGCTGCAGCAGTACCAGCACCAGCAGTTCAGCTGCTTGCTTCGGGCAGGTCAGTTCCCTTTGCCTGAGAAATACAAGTTCCATTCTTGTACTACTAGAAATCTACTCTGTGTATTTGTATTTGCTCATTTTTAAGTTGGATACAGTTAGGCTAGAGTCATTTCCACTACACTATTCTACACCTAAACTTACATTCCGTTTTCCTCTATGATAGCCATGGCGTGTGTATGCTCCCCTTTTCCTTATGTCTTTTATTACAGACTTGCTTCTAGTATCAGAAAAAGAAAGCCCTTCCTTTAAGCCTAAATACAACCACAAGTAAATGTGAGAGATTTGGCAGTGCTGGAACATGAAGATACAGTTATTGAACTCCTATTCTGTCCACACATAACAGCATATAACAACACAAGCTTTTTAGTGCTTGAATCCTTTAACATGTAAATCCCCAAGAATGCTGTTAGGCCTTTCTAACCTTTCTACTAAGTTATTTCTACTAAGTTATGCAGCACGAGTTACAATGCTGGGCTTCCTAATGATACCCGTGATGCTGGTATCCAAAGGACCTTCCTTGCAGTAGGGGAATATACTGAACACGTCTCAATAATTTTCTAATTTGATTGATCACCCAAGCTTTGTCCTGATGGGACATGGTGGTAGAATAACATTAAACTTTGGTTTTGTTTGAGTTTATGAAGACTTTTCTCGTGAAATATTATATTTTAGTTTTGAGAGATAAGATATAAATGTGTCTGTGTATTCCTGGTAACTTTGACTAGGGTTTATGATTGCGTTAAGATTTCCCTAGGATCCACTAAGAGACCTGCTTCATTTAACTTCTTTTAATGTAAGTGATGGTTATGAGAAATGGAAAACATTTGCTAGAGCTTAACGATTAGTAGAATCGTGATGGTTGGAAAAGACCTCTATGATTATCTAGTCCAACCACTGACCCATCACCACTGCCTCCCACTAAACCATGTCTCTAAGTACTACATCTGCCCTTTCCTTAAACACCTCCAGGGATGGTTACTGTGCCACTTCCCCGGGCAGCTATTGCCAATGCATCACCACTCTTTCTGAGAAGAAAGTCTTTTCTTCCTAATACCCAATCTGAACCTCTCCTGTTCCCTCTCATCCTATTGCTAATTACCTGGGAGAAGAGGCTGACGCTCACCTTGCCACGACCTCCTCTGACCCTCCTCTTCTTGAGACTGAATAATCCCAGTTTCTTCAGCCTCCCCCCATAAGACTTATGCTCCAGACCCTTCACCAACTTTTCACCCTTGTCTGGACATCCTCCAGAGTCTCAGTGTTCCTATAGGAAGGGGTCCAAAACTGAACATAGCACTCAAGGTGCGGCCTCACCAGTGCTGTGTACAGAGGGATGATCACTTACTTTCCTGCTCCTGATGGCTGCACTATTTCTGATGAAAGCCATGGTGCTCCTGACCTTTAATGGTTCAGCTGAGAGTCAACCAACACCCCAGATCCTTTTCCTCCATGCAGCTTTCCAGCCACTCTGCCCCAAGCGTGTAGCACTGCATGGAGTTGCTGTGACCAAAGTGCACACAGTTGGCCTCAGCCCATTGATCCAACCTGCCCAGATCCCTCTGTAGGGCTTTCCTACCCTCAGACACTTCTCCCTAACTTGGTGTCATCGGCATACTTACTGAGGATATACTCAGTTCTCTCATCCAACTCATCAGTAAAGATATTAAACAGGATGAACCAGTCATCAGCTGGATTTAACTCCATTCACCACAACTCTCTGACCCTGACCGTTCAGTCAAGTTTTTTTATCCAGCAAAATTGTACCTGACCAAGGCACGGACTGCCGCCTTCTCCAGGAGAATGCAATGGGAGACCTTGTCCAAGGCTTTGCTGAAGTCTAGCTTGACTATGTCAACAGCCTTTCCCTCATTCACCAAGTGGGTCGCTTGTTCATAGAAGGAGATGAGGTTGGTCAGGCAGCCTCTCACAAACTCAGGCTTGCTGGGCCTGATAGCCTGGTTGTCGTGCACGTGCCGTGTTACTGCACTCAAGATGATCTGAATATGATCTCAAGAGTATGGAAAAAAACAATATAGTGCACAAATGTGTACACGTGCCCCAGGGTCTCTCTTCGGTGGTTACATCCTGATTCTAAAAGTGGACCACGCATCTCTTGAAAGGACAGGGAAAATGGGCTCATGAAGTAATACTAGGAGAAGAGGGATGGCTAATATGGAGAGAATGAGAACCTTTGTCTTACTTTGTTTCCATCAAGTATCAATTTACAGCAAATGAATATCAAGCCATCCAGCACGCTCTTCGTCAGAAACTGGGTCCAGAATATATCAGCAGTCGGCAAGCTGGAGGAGGACAAAAGGTATGAATAAACATCCATAGATGTTCAACTTGCATTTTTTTTCCAGGAGAATTATTATTAAAATAATAACAATCCTTAGTTTAGAAAAATTCCCACTGAAGTGTAATCAGCAAAGGTGAAAGGAAAACTAGACTAGCATGTATTCTGGCCTTATCTTAGCCACAGAAACCTTACATTCTTATTCTTAAAGCCACTTAACTTTTCAGTGCTTCATCCTCCTTGTGGAACATTGAGATGTTTTTCTTTTTTTTCTAGAACTGCAGTATATGAATAATTATGTGACACAAGCTGCAATTTTACTTCTTTAGTGCCTGCTAGCTCTGCTCCCCTTAATGCTGGCATATTTGTTCAGTTCTCTCCATCACACTTGCCAGAAGATGGTGAACCTAAATCAGCATCATTATTCAATTACCTTGAATTTAGGCAGGTTTCCTCAGAGTAAGACGATGTAATCTTTCTTTAAAATAAAGAGTGTGTGTGTATATACATACATGTATGTTTCTGTTTTCAGGTCTGTTACATTGAGGGTCACAAGGTAATCAGTCTGGCCAATGAGATGTTTGGCTTCAATGGCTGGGCTCATTCAGTCACTCAACAGAATGTTGGTAAGTATCAGATTGGCATAAAAAAAGTCTGTCCACATTTTTCACTATGATGACTTGAAGGAAAAATTTCTCAAATAATCCTGTAAAAAGTTCAGAGCAGTTCAGAGACAGAGGATTATTATACTGCTTTTTTTTAAATCCTGGGTTGAAAAAGGATTACACATCTGGCAGCTTTACAAAACTATTGAACAAGTGGACCAGATGAGGATGGAACTTTTGGACACCATTGTACGGTTTCTTGAACTACAAAGAATTTCATGTCAGCTATGTGTCAGGCTGAGAGACCTGGTTTTGTTCAGCCTGGAGAAGAGAAGACTGCAGGGTGACCTCATTGCAGCCTTTCAGTACCTGAAGGGAGCCTACAGAAAGGAGGGGAATCAACTCTTTGAAAGGGTTGATAACAGCAGGACAAGGGGAAATGGTTTGAAGTTGAGGGAGGGAAGATTTAGGTCAGATGTCAGGGGGAAGTTCTTTACAGAGAGAGTGGTGAGGTGCTGGAACAGGCTGCCCAGAGAGGCTGTGGATGCCCCGTCCCTGGAGGTGTTCAAGGCCAGGTTGGATGGGGCCCTGGGCAGCCTGGTCTGGTATCAAATGGGGAGGTTGGTGGCCCTGCATGTGGCAGGGGGGTTGGAGCTTCGTGATCCTTGAGGTCCCTTCCAACCCTGGCCATTCTGTGATTCTATCAGACTTGTAATACTGCCAGTGGTTGTTTAGAGGTTCTGAACTGAGAGTCATGGATAAAGCCTTGAGCAGCATTTCCCAGATGAGAAGCTTCTAATAGATAATAGGAAATAAATTGCTTTTATAGACAGTTAAGGTTCTTTTCCATTGTTGTTTCTATAAACTGGTACTTTAAATCTTTACTTCCAGCTGAGAAAGAGCTGTTACTCTTTGAACGTCTAAGATATGTATTTGAATGAGGAGTCATGCTTACAACTCTGATTTCTTTCATATATAAGAAAAAAACAGATGTAAACATATATTTAATATATCTTTATACACATGATACCAGAGCACAAGTGTTTGGCATGCCAACACACTGATAGCCAGAAAATAGAGCATCCCCAGAGCATATCTACAAGTTATCATTCTTGGATGGCGAGTATTATTTTGTAAGTCATGCTCCACGTTGTAGAAAATACAGTGACAATGTCTTGGGCCCACTCAGCAACTACACTACAGGTTTATGAATATCCAAAGGAAGAGAACTGAGATCTACATGTGGAAGTCTTTTGTGTTATTTAGGATGCTACTTTTTTTTTCCCTTCAGACTTTGTTGATCTCAACAACGGCAGGTTCTATGTGGGCGTCTGTGCATTCGTGAGAGTCCAGCTTAAGGTAAGTGGGTTTTTTGTTTGCTCTGTCTGTAGCTGAGCAATTACTTAAAGCTGGGGATGAAAATACACGGGTCAGACCGTAGTTTTCAGGAGTAATGCACTACACCAGAGAAATAGTGGAGTCTAAAACACTGACATCCAGCTAAGGGTGAGTAAACAGGCTTAGGAAAGCGCAGTGTCTAGCAGTGGATGCTTTACGTGCAGAATTTCCCTTATACTTAATGCTTTTAAAATCTTACTGCAGGATGGCTCATACCATGAAGATGTGGGCTACGGAGTCAGTGAAGGCTTGAAGTCCAAGGCCTTGTCCTTAGAAAAGGCAAGAAAGGAGGCAGTAACAGATGGACTCAAGAGGGCACTCAAGTAAGTGAAGATCAGTACTTGCAGATTCTCGGAAGTGATTTGGGAGCTGTTATTTTCAGTCACAACGAGTCTTCTTGTTTCTCAGGTGCTTTGGGAATGCTCTTGGGAACTGCATCCTAGACAAAGACTACCTACAAGCAGTTAATAAGCTTCCACGTCAGGTACAGTATGTGGTGTTTCAGAGCAGGGACTGCTAGATGTTGATTGTTCCTGATCCTTCGTGTTAAAAGGAACGTAAATAATGATACAAATGCATCTTAGCCTCCAATATTTCCTGCTGTCAGACCTGTAGCATTTGCCTGCTTGTTTGATTGCACGAGCTGTCCGTTACTGAGTTCTTCCAGCACTTTACTACAGCTGTTCTAAAGTTTAACTATTTTCAGTAGGCAAGTTTACTGTGGTGAGAAAGCTGAAGAAACAGTGTTCTACTCAAGATGCCGTGTGACATTTAGTGTCTTCACAGAATCACAGAATGGCCAGGGTTGGAAGGGACCTCAAGGATCATGAATCTCCAACCCCCCTGCCACATGCAGGGCCACCAACTTCCACATTTAATGCTCAACCAGGCTGCCCAGGGCCCCATCCAACCTGGCCTTGAACACCTCCAGGGACGGGGCATCCACAGCCCAAAGCCAAGTCTTTTTATTCAATGCCAGCAATGTGTGCAGTTACATCTGTGCTCATAAGAGGTTAAATGCTACACTGGGAAGATTAACTGTTTAAACTAGCTCTAAGTGCTATTTTCTATACATTCTGTGAAATCAGGACCATTTCATTTAGACCTGAAGACTCTCAAGCTGGAAGCCAAGGCTGGACATACTGGGCAGCAGGAGGAAGATTCTCTACATTTTAGAAGCTCTGGCAGAAAACAAGGTGCTTTTTTGTGAGAAAGACTTCTTCCAATAAAGTTTAACATGCATAGCCCAGCATGTCCTGGAAACAATACTAGATGGATCACATCCCAAAGCTGTCTGCTGTAGTTAGAACTTAAGAACAAGCAAAATCCATACAGTAACAATATCAGTGTGTGCACTGATAGTTGCTTTGTCCTTTTACTAATCAGCATTCAAACTTTACAAAGCCCCAGTCGCATCACCAGCTATACTATTCTTGGCCTGGTCTTTCTAACAAGGTTTACATTGCGCCTCTATTTCACCCCTCAGAGGTCTGTCCATTGTTCTATTTATAATAGATAGTAAGTAGGCATTTTATAACAGTGTTTTTGTACTGAGATCTAAAGTTCAAAAGGTGATATCAGCTTTCAATTAAGCCACTTGGATCCTTCCCAAAAGAGCACTGCTATATGCTAGATGCAGCTATTACAAAGGAACCTAAGCTTTTAGATTGAACCCAAAAAAGTTATGGCTGTTGCCAGCCCCCCCAGAAAAGCAAAAGAGGTGACGGTAATTTGTTCTTTTGCTGCATGAGGAGCAACCAAGAGGACCTGCAAACATCCTCTGCTTGGCTTCAAAATGTGTTGGTACCTGAAATTTGCAACTGTATGATGAGAGCAGGCTCTTGAATGTATGAAGAGTTAGTCTGTACAGCTGAGGTGCACTTGAACACTTTCCCTGTCATCACTACGGTTCTTTCCATTACCGAACGTTAAGAAATAGGCCATGTGACTCCTTGCCTTGCTTCTCAGGCTCCTTTAGGCTTACCTTTAGGTTCCACAAGGGAAGGGAGAGCTGCAGTTACTTTTCCCTCTGAAGTCCTACGTTCTAACAGTGAACCTTTAGAGTTAACGAGCACTGTGAAGAAATGCCTCTTTCGGAGGCCTCTGGTCCAGAAAGAGACAAGAAATTGTGCTGCACGTCCCACTGGTAACAAGAGTGCTGTAAGCCTGTTCTTTCAGAGCTATCACAAAGTACACTTGGATGTAACACAGCAGTCTTTGTAGCACTAAAGGTGCCCCTGCTGTTGGTCGGCATTAATCTTGTTAGCTCCTGATGTGTGCCAGCTGGGGGCAGTAGGCTGCTAGGCTGTAACCTACCTTGCGCACTGAGGAAAAAGTCAGCCTTTCACATCCGCTGATCCACGTTGTTCCACAGGAAAGTTGCCCTTGTCGTACCAGGATTTACTCAACTCCACTAGTCAGCATGGAGCTCTCTCTTTGGCTAGCTAACAATCTGAAGGGACACCTCACCAAGTGAAGATGACAGAGATCCCTGCTTTGCCAAGGTCACCCACTGCCTCACAGACAGAGATTTGTAAAATCACAGAACGTGGGATATCTTCCCTAAAGAACTCAACTACTGAACTGGCACAAAGCAATAAACTAGATAAATTAAACTGCATTTTAGTTTCTAAACTTCTCTACCACGGGGAAATAAACGAGATTTTCTAACAGTACCATGCAGAAAAGTGCTGTGCATATTTCGTGAAGGAAATTTCTGAAGGTGTTTTCTTTTTTCCTTTACTAGGTGCCCCCCGAGTTAGATCTGGTGAAAACTAAAAGACAGGACTATGAGCCCAAAATAGAGAAAGCAAGGTATGATGGCTGTTTGGAAAGGCAGAACCCAGGATGGAGACAACAGTATGAAATGGCACCAACTCATAAGCCCAGTCACACAGAGGCTTCTGGAGAGACAGAAGATCAGAAGCAGCCAAGCAGTTCCGGGTATGTTAGAAGTTGCTGTCCCCTTTGAAGCACGTGGACAGTCCAAATTGGAAGATGCCATACAATACTAATTTAGAGGATTTTTCTTGCAGTTATTATATTACAGTATGAATGTTTCTTCATAAAATACAGTTGCTGAACTCCTGTTTTAACTTTGTCTTTACCTGGGGGTGGGGCAGAAACACAGATTCCCCAGCTGCTGAGTGTGACGCCACGTACCAGCGGAAACTGCGACAAAAGCAGCTACAGCAACAGTTCCGGGAACAGATGGAGAAGAGACGTCAGGTCACAGAAGTTACTCCCAGCAGTAAACAGGGTGAGATGGGGCATTAGAAGCTGACAGTTTGAACGATAGCTGCTGGCAGACAAGTGTTACTCTCAGTATGGGAGCCTGATCTGTTTTATGCTGTGCTATCGCACTCCTTTGAGACCAAACAAAGGAAGATCCTCATACTTCTATCCCAGTGTTCTTAAAGTGGTTCTAAAACCACATCATTAAATCTGCAACTGTCCAGCCACACTAAAGCTTCGTGCAGCACAGCCACTGCCATCTGTATCGTTACCTTTCTGCGTCAGAGCTGAGGCTGCAGCCCTTCCCTGAGGTGGTGACAGGCAAGCGGACGTTGCATTAGCTGCTGGTAGGTTCCTTTTCACTCATGGGAAGTCTGGACAGATGTGTGGTAAGTGGGAACTTGGGGGTGGGGTAAAAGAGTTTGTAGTATTGCAATTGCTAGTCAGCAGCAGCATCCATACTATTCTATATACCGCTTCCAAAATCCAAGCAGCTGTGGGAAAAGAGGGTACCTGGGTACAATCACTTCAGACTCATAGTCTGTCTGCTAAGGAGAAACAGAAGAGTTCTTCTGTATTTCAGACTTTAATCTCTTCTTGTGTTACCTCTATCCAGCAACAGCCAATCCTCCCGTAAAACACAGCAGTCCGGCAGCAGTACAACAGCAACTGGCAATTGAAGAAGAGTTCTTTGCAGGTCAGCCAAGAATAATGAATAGAAGCAGGTTAAATTATTGCTATTTGGATTAATTCTTCAACGTGTAAGGGTAAAAGATGTGAAGAGCTTGGAGTAAAAGAAGTGGGAGTCTGACCTTAGCTGTACTAACCTTGCTTGAATGGCAGGAAAACAGTATTAAAACATGCAAGAGACGAGATGTCCATCAGTATGAGAAGTTTTACACCATGCCTTGCAGTAGAGCACTGTTAGACATATTTGGCAATCTCTTCTCTTCTGGTGACGTTTCACAAAAATAGAACATAGAAGGGGGGGAAGTGCCTTTTCTTAACACAGCTACGGCTGTTTGTGTCACACAGCACAGCACGTGGACCTTGCTGAAGTTCAGAGCACAGGGCATAGTGCTGTTTTCTGCTGGTGCACTGACATAAAAGATACCTTACAGTTTAACTTGTATAGTGGCCACCACTATAGGAAAAGGGCGGGCTGGTCTGGAGTCACTCTTGTTCCTGTAGCGCCGTCGTCTTTGGTTTCATCATCTTTTCATTCATTCTAGATGATCTTGAACTTTGGGACATTTCCTTGGAGACCACTGACCTTAACAAGTTGATGTGTCACAAAGCAGCAGGCCCACCAGCAGCACACCAACCCCCCGAGACGCCCCGCGGATGCCACCAGATGACAACTCGTAACAGAACGCCCCAGAGAATGCATTCTCACAAACCTTCCGTGAGGTTTGCACAGTTGCAGCCCTCTGCTGCTCTCATGGGCAGCAGCCACGGTGCCAACCAACACACACCAGGTAGGTGCTGTGATAAATGACTGAGTTCTTTCTGTCCCGACAGCAGCTTTTAGCTTTGAAAGCTTTGCTGTCATTACTAATCTGGAATGGGAGAGGCATCCCTCTTTTGTGTGGAGTGGAGGACTCTTTTCATCCAACTGTCTTCTCAAGGAAGAGCTAAAGAGTAAATCAATGAGTACTTTTAGAAGCAAATCACAGAATGGTGCGGGTTGGGAGGGACCTCAAGGATCACGAACCCTACTACAAGGATTCCAGCCCTACTGCTGCAAGCAGGGCCACCAACCTCCCCATTTAATACCAGACCAGGCTGCCCAGGGCCCCATCCAACCTGGCCTTGAACACCTCCAGGGACGGAGCATCCACAGCCTCTCTGGGCAGCCTGTTCCAGCACCTCACCACTCTCTCTGTAAAGAACTTCCCCCTGACATCCAACCTAAATCTTCCCTCCTTCAACTTAAAACCATTTCCCCTTGTCCTGCTGTTATCAACCCTTTCAAAGAAAAGCTTGAAGAAACTTCCCTTTCTCACTCTCTCCCTGTTCAGCAGAGCAGAGCCCTCACAGGAGAAGCCAAAGCTGGAAGAAGCGGAGGCTAGAACCTACATAGGACACCTGGTGGCATCATTACCTAAATGCTGGATTACATCATAAGACTGCAGTTGGCTGCTCAAAGTATGTGAGGAAGCTTCATCTATTAATAGATTGTCCTGAAGCAACACAGAATAGCCAGAGAGGCACAGCCAGCAAGAACTTCATGTGCTTTGGGTTTATTACATAGCCCAGATTTTTTTTTCTATAAACACATCATCATTTGTGCTCCTGCACAACTCGTGGCTGTTTTACAAATAATTTGCCTGAAAATTGTAGCATAAGTAAACCTTCAAATGAGGCACCGTAGCTTCTTTCCTGCTCAGCGTTGCATTTTGGCATACAGAAAGTTTTTTCCAAGAAAATGAGGGCAGGGTGGGCCATGGTCCCAGGAAAGCAGACAGAATGCAGCCTTGCATTCCCTCGGGCATTTTGCAGTTGTGGCAGCCTCTGCCTTTCACATGCAGCCCAGCTGCCTGCCCGGAGGCTGCACAAGCAGGGTCAGAGCATTGCCCTGACAGCTCTGCCTCAGCTCACCCCTCAAGCACACAGCATCCCCAGGAGCAGCAGCAGCACGTCCATCTGTGCCCATGCAGCACAGGGGCAGGAACACGCAGGGGCTGCTAGTGAGGAGTGCATACAGCCTCTAAGTGCTTGTTTGGACCTTTTGTGAAATGAATGAGAGCCGCAATTTTATACTTTTAAATAAGCTTTTACTCCTTTTTAACACGAGAATAAACACTAAATTTGGACAGACAAACCAAGCTTGTTATTTGTGCCTTCTTCCTATTCAGTTCCAACTGTTTAACAAGCTCAGAGAAGTTTGTGAGCAGGTACAAGTAGAAAGCTAGAGATTACCACTGCATGCACAGCTTTGCATTTGCTTTAGTATGGGCAAACAGAAAGGTTCAAGTGGATTTTTAACATGAGAGCAAAGCAACAGTTGCTCCTCTTAGTAATAAGGTCAAAGCAAGATCTTTCAAGCAGCATTTAGGAAGTCCTCTGTGCCCACCTCAGGCCCCGCTCTGGTAAGAGAACGGTTCTGTTGGCAGCTACTGGGTCTCTTTCTCTTCTGGTGAAGGGACTCAGCTGCAGCCCCTGCTGTCTCAGGCAGGAGCTGGGCACCGCCAGCCAAGCAGTGGCAGCACCCTCCATGCCAAAAGCAGCCTGAGCCCAGGACTTGAGAGGGGAAGCTGGTTCTGTGTTACCTAGCGGCAGCACTGGAAGGATGGTGCAGCATGGCTGGGGCTGGACCCAGGAAAACTGACACCAATTTTGACTAATCTGACCCTGAAACTGATGTCAGACTTGAAACAGGACCTTATTTCTGTGCTCTGCTATCATTACCGTTCTATCCAGATGAGTTTCGTAAAGCAATCTAAATGTTACCCAGGAGGTATGAAGCATTGACTCCTGTCCCTCCTATTTCACCTTCGCCACTTATCAGTCCTTTTTTCTTATGCAGCCTCTATTACCCACTCACCTCTCGAACAGGACAAACAAGGACCGATGTTGGTACCAAAAGACAGGACAAATGAAATTAACTGTCACAGATCATTACCTAGAAAACAGTTTCAGATTTCAGCAATACTGGTTTCTCTCCAACTCAGTGCTGAGTGAGATCAGAGCAGCTCAGGAAAGAAATACATACCACACATCTGAGTCATGCGCCCAGTGTTGAAATAAGATACCTGTAAGGAAGGGAATGTGCAGACACACCACTGCTGTGTTCAGCAAAGCCTCCCCCAGCTCTTACAACAGAAAACCTGAAAGTCTCTGACAATTTCATCAGCTTTCTTGACAGCAGAACAGTGCAAAGAAAGAGATGCCTCCTCCAGAGGGGGTCAGTACCTCTCAGCTTGGTCCTTCTTTAAAAAAAGCAGTAACGTTCATCCATGGAGCTTTTCCTTTAAGGACTTGAGCAGCATGACTCATAACAGAAGCTGTTCTTAAAATGGAAAGAAATGCAGCAGTAATTAGTGTTTAGAAATACCAAGTAATTCCTGCGAGCCTACAGCTGCTTGGGAACAACTCCGTACAGCTCCATCTTACACTGTATGGGCAGAGTTGCAAGTTTGGGGATGGCATTCAGACCGAATCAAGACTAAAGGCAGCACCCGGCACCGCAGCTCAGCCCCACTCCCTTCCGACCCAGAGAGGAGAAGAGCCGACCCAACAGGAGAGGTGGAGCAGCCCCGCTCCAGCTTTTGTACCCGTAACTGTTATCAGCTGTGTAGCAGTTAAACCACTGCAGGAGCAGGGAGGAGAGGCCCACGAGAAAACCCAGCGCTCAGCAAAGCACGTTGGGTTTCTTTCAGTGACTTGACGCGATGTTCCGCAGAGGTGACAAATCGCAGCACAAAGCACAACCATAGAAGGAGAGCAGCTGGGGTGACGCTGCCAAATACGCAACTAACTGTGGCCAGGGAAGCCCAAAGGTTCAACTTTTTTTATTTTTTTTTTATTTTATTTTATTATTTTTTTTTACAGTGTACATTGTTAAATAATGTAAAGAAAACGCTTGTAATTCAGAAACAGATTTTATGTGGAAAAAGATACTCAAAGTGTAATATTAAACAAAATAATTTAACAGTTCAGTAGCATTAGTTTATTCCTCTAGACTTCAGTTATTCATCCACAGGAAGGGGGGAGGGGGAATCAATGGTAAATAAAACCAGTTCTTGCATAACATTAAGTGAAAACAACCTCAAACTTATTAGATCAAAATTAAATAACCACGTGCTGCGTTCAGCTTCATCGTTCCCCTGTCGTGAGTATTCCCCTTGTGTGTCACCACTGCCTCGGGCCGACAACCGCTCCTTTTCCTCAGGCACACCTCTCCCCTTCCACCGGGTGTATTTGGGAAACCAATGCACCATTCAGGGCACAGAGCAGAGCTTTCCTGTCCAACCTCAGCAGCAGGGCCCCCCGCTTCTGCCCCTTCCCACCGCACTCACGCCACGAGCCTCTCTCCTCTCCCCTTCAGCAGCTCCACTCCGCACTGAGGTCACAAAGAACGAGCCTCCAAACCTAAGGATCTCAGAGCCCAGGCTCTTTGCTGCCGGCTTTCGCCCTCTGGCATCTCCCTCCACCCAGGTATGGTGGCCCTTGCTGCCAAAACTGCTGGAAAGAAAACAAAAAAAGAAAGAAAAAAAAAAAGAAAAAAAGTAACAGGAAAGAAATGGATCTCGCACATCTCTGCAAAAAATAAAATAAAATAAAATAAAAATTCAAGTGAGAACACTCACAGACAGAAAAACTCCCTGTTAAGGCTCCACAGGGGAACAACACTCTCAGGAAAAATGATTTGGGCAAGGAACAATCTCCTGGGTGCACCAACTTCCAGACACCAGCAAGCTGCCCCAGTGCTGGGAAGCAGCAGCGATCCTTCACAGCTCTTTGCAAAATGTGTAAAATACTGGCTGGTATTATTTTAACTTTGTAGAGGAAACCAGTATTCTTAAATATGAAAAGGGAGAATGAACACAGCAAAGGTACAGTACAGCTAACTAAGAGGTGACGGCTACAGTCCTGGTACCAGCTGGAAATCTGTTAGAGTTGGAGCATAAATCCAACTGAGACTGAGGAAATTTCGTGATGCCGGCTGTTTCAAGTGCATCCATTGCCGGCAATGGACATTGTGCCAGGACGACTGTTCCTGGCTTCAATGGATAAAAAAAAAAAACAAACCCATAAAACACAACAAAACAAAGAAAGAAAAGCAATCCCAGCAAGACAAGCCCACGCCAACGAGGAACGGCACCTCTCCCTCAAGTCACATCCTGACCAAACACCTTCACCACTTCACAGGTGGAGTCACACTGCATCTTACGTGGGACCCTTCCCATAGACACTCCTTCTCCCCATCCTCTGCATTCCTGATCCAGACCTCCTGCCCCTACACAACGGCGCTCCGTCTCATTCTGGCTTCACGCACAACCCTCCGTCCCACCCCACCTGGCCCTCATCGCACCACCACCATCGGGTCACCCCCTCGGCCAAGTTTCCCAACACGCGGAGCCTGCTTGCGCCCCGCTGCACCTCCTCCAGGCGCCACCGCGCGATCGCCATCGCTACGCCGCCGGTCGGGCCCCCGTCCACAGGCACAACCAACGCGGCCTTCTCTGAACTTGCCCTCTGTCCACCTGGGGTCTGCTGGGAAGACAACGCTAACTGCAGAAGCAATAGAAGTCCAAGGCACTAAAATATCCAGCAAGCATACTGGGAGAACAGACAAGTATTCAAGTACATTAATTTATACAATTTTACATTCACATTTATTTATCTAATACAATGAAAATACAAAGGAAAAAGTTAAAGTGTCTCCAATAAGTATAAGGATATAGCTAGCTTTTTTTCCCATTTTTTACTTTTTAACTTTTTTAACCCTCTATATTCCACTCATTTTTAAACTACTGTTGTCCAACAACATTTATATATCACAGTGTTTCCACATCAAAACTGATGGTAAGTACATGTCCGCAGGGAACTTTTAAAATCTTTAAACAATTTAAATTGCTCTAATGCTGCAGTCAAAGCTGTTAATATCTTACTTAAAGCAGTAATGACCTATCAAGCACGGGCTGCACTGCAAGTCCATTCGGGTGCCCCATCGTTCTGGAGCCAAATACGATCGAGTGGGGAGAGGGAGAGGAGGGGGATCTGGACAGCTGGTCTCGGATCTTCAGGGAGAGAAGTGTGCTAAAGCCTCATGCTAGGATTCAACTCTCCCATCTTGACATACGCGGATTCGGCCTCAAACCAGAGAAATGTTACAGCAAGACTGCGTTAACTGCCCCCGTCACTGATCTTCACGGCTCTCGCTTCACACGAGAGCGGGACCCCTCGAGTCCAAACAACTGTCCCATCGTAAGGACGCCGATCATCCTTCTCCCCCTTGAAAGCATGTGGGGAAGCCCCCTTTACAGAAAGTTAACAGCAATGGGTGGAAAAGAGAAATTCATTCCCAGTCTGGCAAGCAACCAGTTCATTGCAGCACTAGGAGTTGACAAAGGGCCCCGTCTCCCTCCCCACGTCCCGTCCCCAGGTCTAGCCAGCACGGTCTCCGAGCGGGGCTAAGTGGTCCGCAGGTTGGAGCCTGGAGGGTTGCTGATGGATTTCTGCAAACCGCTGATGTTGAAGCTTTGCAAAGACGCGGCACCTACGGGCTGGAACTGGCCAAGTGGCTGCTGTGCCGGACCGCTCGTCCCGCTCCACGGAGCGGCAAAAGACGCTGCTGGGTAACCGTACTGCTGCGGAGGGCACATGGCCTTCGTGAAGGGACCTAAAGAGGTAGCTGATGCTGCAGAGATGGGCGTAGCACCCAGGGAAGATGTCATAGAGATACAGAGCTGACCTGGTGCTGAGAATTTTCTTGCCATTCCAGGGCCCTGAAAGAAAACCCAACCTCCAAGTTAAACAGCTGCTCTTACAAACCACCGGCTATCCCCGCAGGCCATTCCAAATGGCTGTCTGGAAGAACACATCATGGCTTTACTCTCTTTACTCTTCAGTTATCTCTCTTCCCTTCCAGAGCACGCAATATCACACTGTGCACACAAGGTTTACCCAACATTTCTGTAGCGCAGTTGTCCAGGATACGTGGTGACTGTACTCCACCTGGTTGACACTCTGACATAGCAAGACGACCCGACAGTCACAGTCATAAACATTTATGGGTTAAAACTTACCTCATAGTTGCTATGCCCTTTGCCAACTTTCTTGCCAGACAGGTTCATGGCATCTCGGGCCCAGTTATCTACCAGCTTGTGCAGGTCATCTGTGAAAGTCCCTTTTCGGCTGGAGGCAATAGCAGTAGGCTGAGACTGGGGTGCTTGGCTGTTCACTGTAGCCCCGACTGCGTTAGTGCTACTGGTCCCTAAAAACACAAGAAATGGGAGTCAAAATTTGGGGTCAAGATCAGCTTCCTCCAGTGAATTTAATAATCGTGGCAATGGTACAACGATAGAGAGCCAATTAAAATGCCATGCAGCTTAAGTCTAGGTTTCAATTTCAAGACAAGCTGAAGTAGGAACTATGAGGACTCCTACAGGCATTTCCTCAGATTATTAATATTTCACAGATGTTTCCTTCAAGAAGTCCTGCAAGTAGTCATCTTTACAGGGGAACAGCAGCAGCCTATAGGTCTTTGCAGAAGAAAAAGGAGATTAGATTTCAGCACCAGATGACAGTAGTCGTGTCGTTCTTTCATCCTATACCATTTAATCAGCAGCAACCACTACCAGCACAAGTCAATTCCACCTTAGAGGACAATGCTGGATGCTGAATATGGAGTACTACAAACAGCACAGCCAGCTGCTCTGTAGAAAATTATCTCCACTTCATAAAATGAAGAGGAAAAATTCACTCAGATTACACAAAAAGCCACAGTGAGATACAACAACTGTTGTTTCCAATAGCTGCCATACTTGAGCATAACCAGACAGGACTGTCTTCATCCACTAAAGAGCAGGGATCAGCAGGGGAAGTCTGCACTGTGTTAAATTTTGCTTTTTGCCTCTGAAAGCACTTTTTTGCCATTATGTTCAGATTTCCTAGTCTGAAGAACAAGCATTTCAATGTAAATGACTAACACAGCTTAAAGAAGGCAGAAATGAGACCAGTTCCTTGGATGTGCTTTGACACAAATTTCTGTTCACTGGGTTGACCACAAGAACAAAAGCCCCACACATGAATACTGGGAATTTGGTGCTTCTAGAAAGCTGGCTGAACAGCACGCTGCAGAAAACATCCAGAAGTTCTGTGTTTAGTAGCCTTACTCACTGTCTCGCCCTAATAAGCACACAGCTTCACTCAAAATGAAGCTTTTCACAAGACAGATAACATAGCAGTAGCAAAAGTTGTTTATTATCAGGTAAGAATTCTGAATTCCCAGCAGTACCTTCATTTCAGATGTGGAATGAATACATTCCAGAAGTATCTTCATTTCCAGATGTGGGACCAGTAGGACCATGGGGAAGGCAGAATGAATCTACATTTCTCAAATCCACTTGGCTCAAAACCAACTAAACATAATTAGTTCCTGTCAGTGTAGAGCTAAACCCTGCATTCACTGCAAGCATCTTCACCTAACTGGTTTTCAAATAGCCTCATATATTTCTACCTGCTTGTTCTGAAGGCTGCAATTGGGAAGCCCAGGATAACCTGAGCATATGGCAGAATTTCTGGAGAAAACTGATTTAAAAAGTTGAGGATCAAAAATCCTAGCAAAGACAGTCATCTCCATTGCCAAGGCCGAATGACAGTCGTTGTCCCCTGTCTGACAGCTGATTTCTCAGTAGTGGTGCTGCAGTGGCACAGGCTGCCCAGGGAGGTGGTGGAGTCACCACCCTGGAGGTGCTCAGTAACTGTGTGGACGCGGCACTGAGGGACGTGGGCAGTGGGCACGGCAGGCGTGGGCTGCTGACTGGACTCAATGATTTCAGATGTCTTCTCCAACCTTAATGATTCTGCAATTCTAATTCCTCCGTGCTGCCCTCCCTGGCTAGCTGCCCCGCTCCCTGCAACCATGGCATCAAAGAAAGAACTGGCTCCAAACCCCTGCAGGAATGCTTTATAATAAGGAGTGAATTAGGAAGGTGACATACTTACTACGCAGGACAAATAAGCAAAGTGTTACCGCCTCTAGTAGTGCTGAGGAGGGAAGGACACAACTCCCTCCCACCAGATCCAGCTCAAGCATGGAGATGGCTCCCAGTGAGGGTGCTCACCAGAGGGACAGCAGCTGTTACAGGCAGGCAGAGGCATGCAACAGTGCACAAGGAAGGAGAGAATAGGGTTCCCTGACCAGGGAGTGCAGCTGCAGCTCAGATGAATGCTAACAGAAACATACCATAAGGTGGAAAGGAAAAATCTACGATAAAATAATGAAAACTTTAAGCATGCACCACATCTTATTTAATAATAACAGTGACCGAGAAAAAGAAGGTGAAATTAAACACAAAACAGGCAAAAATAACAAAGAGGTACTCAAGATGAGGTGTGGAACCAGTAACAACCACATTCCACCATGAGGGCTCATGCAGGGATTGATACACTCACTCTCATACTCTTCATGATGGCCAATATCTGGTTCTCGTGTCTCATATTTCTATGTTAATCAATAAGTGCACAGCTGGCAACCTGGGACCGTGGCTCTATGCTTGAAGAGCCTCTTCAGGCCGCGCAATGGAGGGAGTTAATTACAAAATACTACAGAACAATCATCCAGAGATGTGAAAAATCACTTAGAAAAGCTGAAGTGTTTTGAAGAGGACTGGCTGAGTGTTTAATCCAGGGTTTAAGGCAGATAGGAAAGGTGGGGGGCAAAGAGCTTTATCTGAAAAGTGATTTTAGTACGGAGCTCCAATCTCAAGTCACAGACAACTTGAGGCAGACCAACCTACGCTATAAGAAGTGAGCTGTAAAATTACTGGGAGCTCCCACAGTATCAGTGTAAAAACTGACTTCTTAGGAACTTCACATTTTAACCCTGATGTAGTTTCTGCCTACTGAAGCTGCCATTCAGAAGAGTGTGAGAAGGAAGCGTTTCAATTCGTGGCATTTAATGGAAACAAACCCCCGCATTCCTGCTTGGTCACAGCAGCCGTCCTCAGTCCTACTCTGACATAAGGGACCTGAAGTGAAACAGGCTTCTGCTTCTTCAGCCTGCCACCTACAATGCCTTCATTTTACACCCAGCCTTCTTTTTTATTATTGTTAAATCTCACCATGAGTGACAAAGGCACTGTCAAAAGGCACCTTTAAGCCGTTTTCAGTGACGTGACCACATGCTGGCTTTTCTAGACATCTCTTACTTCAGGACACGGATAGAGGTCAGATGGCTTACTCTTGCAACGCTGAAGGACACTCTGCCATTGGAGCTGTCACTGAGATGGCAGAACCCATCAGATACGTACAGAAAGCAGCTGCTCAAGGGTACAGCATTAGCACATCGCAGTGAGCAGCTGTCCTCGATGCTCAATTCACTGTTATTAGCAGGGAGCAAGGAGTTGCTCAGGGAAGGTGAGGCTCTGCCTCCACTCTTCTGCAAAGGTAATAGCCACGCTGTACAGCTATGCTAACAACAGAGTACACATTAGAGGGCATAACAGAGACAGACAGATGCTGTGCTAGGGACAGAGTCAGGGAGGCAAGGCTTCGGTGACCAGAAAAAGCCAATGAACAGCTTTACAGTCAGGAGTTGGAGATAACAGAAATAAGATAATTACTACAGAGCTGGTTGCAAGGACAGACTTTTTTCACCATCTTCCCTGAAGCACAAAGAGAGAGTCATTTGTTAAAGATAAGAGAAACAGTGAGAAATGTTTAGTATCAGCAAACAGTACGAAAAGCTTGGTGAGAAACAGAGGGCATGGCACAGCAGGGCTCCTGAAAGTTCTGGTATGTTCTAGGAAAAAGCCCAAGATTGCTCTGACAGTTTCGTGGGCTGTATTTTCAGAAAAAGAAATGGTTTGGCCTTCTGCATTTATTTCTCAGTATTTCAGAATTCCCAAACTGCAGTGAGGAATGGCAGAACACATTTACGGTTTCAACTGCCCATTACTACTAAAGCAAAGCAAATACATCTTGCATTTTTGTCAGGGCGCAGAAAGCATTTCACAGCTATCAAGTTTGACTGTCATCAAGTGAGAAGAATTTGATAAGCCAAGTGCACTCATGGTTTGTCACCTTGTTCTCTCAGGCCTCCCCAGGTCTGTGGGACAGACCTTCCCTGCCAGGCTGTACCACTCTATTTCTCCCGCCGCACAGTTACAAGCATCAATTACTGCACTGTTTCCTCAACGCTGCTGATTCGAACCCAGCATCTTCCCCAGTTGTCACTCTCCATAACAGTCTGCAATAGCACTCGAAGGACAGGACTCCAGGAAGCAAGCAGCCTGTAATGAGCTGAGCGCCAGGCCAAGCTGTGCCATGCCTCTATGAGTATGACCTGCTTTTGCAGGACAGCTACAACACGCATTTCAAAAAGAATCCATTTTTCTTAGCACAAGCCCCGCAGGTAGAGGATATGCCAATGTATTCTTAGAGCCAGATGGTGCACAATTTGCAGCAAGCCAGAGCCTTAGAAGTACATGACACTCTCACATTCAGTTCACTGTCAATTCCAGAAGTAGAGTAGTTGTTCATTACAAAGGATGGGGCAGCCAAGAGAGGATTTTGAAGAGTTAACTTTGGTAAGCATGTGAGTATTTCCAAGAAAGGAGCTGCTAAGTCTTTGAACTGCAGATGTTTGTTACTGCACATCCGCACAGTAATATATCTAAAATCCAATGAGGTATCACTGCAAAATTCAGCAGCCACAAATATGTTTCCCCTCTCTGACTCCACTGCCTTAGAAGATCGTGCTGGTTGTATTGCAGCTGTCTCTGCAGAAGGCCACGTCTTGTTCCTGCACACAAATCTCTGGCTGCCAAGTGCAGCTCGACAGATGCTACAGATGCATGGTACATTAGGCAGTGCAGCAACTGAAGGTCTCTTTTCAGCATTCAGAACTCTCGTATCAACTCATTCTGGAGTCTGGGAAACAAATGTCAGAGCATTTAAAGGGTCCAGCCTGCAGCAGCAGCATGGGAGATGTTGCAGCCCACCCCCCCCCCAAAAAAAAGAAGCATTGCAGCAGCAGCAGCCTCAGCTCAAGCACACTGTTAGTTCAGACAATCACATCAGAAGTTTGAGGCTCTCTTTTTTAATCTGGCGTAGTGTAAGCACCAGTGAAAAGATGTTGAGAAAGGCTGCAAGGTAACTTGCAAGGGTTGACAGAATGTCTGAAGATGGCCATTTCCCCACCTGCACTGCTATGTGTGCATCATATTTAATCTGACTCTGATTCACACTAAGAGCTTCCAAATCTGTGGCCCATTTGAGTTGACCTGAAAATATTCTGTAACTATTTTTAAGTTTCAATCTTTTACTCTCCATCTGTGAATGAACACAAAAAGTCAATGTTAACTGCCTACAGGTGGCATCAATGCTCTGCACTGTGATCAGCACTGGTGCTGACAGCATGCATAAACACCCAACTTGCACAGCAAGCACACTGCTGGAAGGAAGCAACACATCCCCTCCACCATCAGTTACAACAGTGCCCAACAAAGGAATAATTTGGGAAACAAATCTTCCTCACTGTTTCTGAAGGAAAGAATAGTTCCCCTGCAAGTCTCATGGCAGCTAACATATACTGAAGCGTAATTAATAAGCAGGCCAAAAGAAAAGGCCCAGTGTACTACATCTGGCAAGCCAACCTCAATTTCTGCCATTTCACTGACCTGCCCAGAAAAGTTTCCACCAAAAGCTTAGAGAAATCAGTGTTTGTTAAAACAGTTTAAAAAAACAGAATACCTAACACGAGAACCCAAACTTCCAAAGGTATGCTAAGAGCAACTCAGCCTAGCCATGGAATGGAAGGGAATACAAGGCGGCACATGAGGATGGGCTGCATGAAACAGATCCAAGCAGCAGAAGAAAACAAAAAGACAAAACAAAAAAGACAAGGAAGGAGTAAAGGTGTTACACACAAAGAGCCAAGCAGGGCGTACTCAGAAATCGGGTCCTCCTGCCACCAGGCTTGAACGTCACTCTCTCAGATGCACAGTTAAACTTCGCACAGCCTGTGAGAAAACAAAAACGGGAAGAACAGAGAAAGGAGAGGAGAAGAGACAGAACACCACTACAAGATGTTAGCAACTTGAGGTTGGAAGGGTGAAATGCATTAACATGGCACACAAGAGTAAGCTTCCAAGAGCAGACCACAGAGTATGCAGACAACATACGGAGTGAAGAGACTCGCCTTCAATACAGCGGACATGAGGCCAAGTTTGCTGTGTTAACCTCCAGTTTATAACCCAGCAATGGGGTTTCCATTGGTAGGAAAGCCAAACGCCAGCAAAAGCGTCTGCTTGTAGAAGATACTGCACAACTCTAGATACAAGGAGGTGCAAGTAGCTCCAAAATACTTGAGCAGTTCAACACAAAAATCTCTACAGAAAATTCTTCCCAAAATTCTTTCAGAAAGTCGATTTCTGTTTTCCGTTTGTACTTCTCCAAATTCAGCAGTAATATTTGTTTCATTTGATGCATTTAATCAGACTATGGTAAAGCTTTTCAAAAAGATGCTAACACATAAAAAACTGAGGCAACTACTTTCATAGAAGCAAACGAATCAAACTATCATCTCCTGAGCAACTGACAAGGAAGAAAGTCCTCCCTCCAAAATAGATTGGGGCTGAGTGAGAGATGACCTGACACTACCTAAGCAATCCACAACTTGAGTAAAATGAACATTTTATTCCTACACCATTCCATCCTCCTATGCTGCTGACCAGGATAACTCTTTAACGCATAAATGAAGAACATAATTCTTTTTTTCCTTTTATTGCCAAAAAATTTTCAACAGAAACAGCCACAGCAGTTTCAAATTCAAGAAAGAGTGAGTCTTCCGAAATTTTCCTACCATTTCAATTACCTATTATCAACAAAGCTATTCTGCCTCATCCTTAATCTCACATTTGAACCCACCTTTCCTCTACCTCTCTCCTTTGTTTCCTCACCCTTGCAGCCAACACCACCTTCTCTCAGGTCAGAAGAATATTGCTTGCCACCACCACACTGCATTCTCTTGTGTTCTCCTTGGTGTTTTCATTAGACAGGGCCACATGCTATATATTAATTATTTTAACGTTCCTGGCACCTTCTGTTTATGTGAGAAGCTAGAAATGTAGTTGCAAAACATACACTCTTTTCAGTTTGCATGCATTGGGGTCGAATTCCCTGTCTACTTTATGACGTGTATTAAACATCAAGTGGCATCAAGTAGATTCTTTCACCAGCAGTAAAGGTGCAAGACTTGTCACTAAATCCATCTGAAGTCTTACCTTGGCCTGGCGCAGAAAGGCTTGGTACTGAAAGGGCACCATCACTGGTAAAGGCAGAGTAGAGGTTTTCGCTGGAAGGTGAAGGTTTGAGGGGCTGTAACAAATGATTCTGTCCAGTCTCTGGCACACTACCAGGAGGATGAAGAGTCTGTTGCGGGGGCAAGACTGATGGTGCACTCTGAGCTGACAAATTGCCTGGAGAAGGAATGAAGGCAAAACACAATGAACCTTTCAGCTTCCCCGTGTCATTTTCTGAGCTTTTTTTCAGTGCACCCAATGGAGAACAGCAAAACGTATGACTGAGTTATTATGCTAGCAATGGAGAAAAGTGCAGGGGAGGGGAAGTATATTCATCCTCTGGACTTGACAATTCCAGGTGAGAGAGAGGCAGGGGAAGGACTACACCAGCATATTGGAAAGTATTAAGACTAAAATAATTTTTCTTCAATCTTAAGGGAACTCACTGTCACACGCTCACACAGAGTTCCTCTATCATATAATAAACCAGAAGTGAGCACAGTGCAACTAGATACAGACCCTCATACACGACATGGAGCTGCCAAAGTCAGAGTATAAAACAAATATTTCCGCTTACGGGCAGGATGTGAGTGACATCTACAGATAGATAACATCTGACACCCATGTCAGTCAGGCACAGAACTATTTTTCAATTTATTGTAAAAATTGTCTTAATGAGAAATGAAGCCTTGATAACTGAAATCTTCTTAATTTGCAAAGTACAAAGAATTGTCACTCCCTAAAACTTCACTACTTCAACATCCATCAGTTGTGACTTTGATTTCTGGCAATACCATGCTTAAGTGCTCTGAAGTATGAAAAATCATTTTTGAAGATGGATGAAGATACCATTCCCATTCTATAAAACCATTTTCAGGAGAAAACAAGAGTAGTTGATGCCCCATTCCTGGAGACTTTTGAGGCAGGGCTGGATCAGGCCCTGGGCAACCTGATTCAGCTGTGGTGTCCCTGTTCATTGCAGGGGAGTTGGATTAGATGGCCTTTAAAGGTCCCTTCCAACTCTAAGGATTCTATGATTTTATGGGGAAAAAAAAAATTCCCTTTGTAAATTTATACTTTACACTCTGGATTGATTCCCAGTCCTCTTATAGCCCCATCACTAATCTCAAAAAACCAAACCAAAACAAAACAAACAAAAACAAAACAAAACAACCCATACCCACAATTTTAAACTGCTCTTACAAAACAATGTAATATAGTTTAAGTAAATTGCAAAAGGCAAAACTATCAACTAGCAAAAGCAACTTAAATGACTTTGTAGTCCAGGCAGTGGAGGAGCTTGGAGTAGGGAGTGCAGGAGAGCAAGGTGCAGCAGAAGAATCGTATCAGTCTGGAAGTGACTGGTAGCACTTAGTCAGTTCTATCTTATTTATTAAAAAAAAAAAAGAGAGAAAGCCTTACCTGACAGCTGTGGACTCTTATTTCCCTGGGAGCTGCTACGACTGGATTTGCTGCTTTTTCCTTTAGTGGGTCGTCTCCTCCTTCCTGAAAGGGGTGCAGCAGGGGGTATAATGACTGCAGGTGGGACTTTTCCTAGTTTTGTGTATAGTGATTCAATCTCCTGCTTCTGGCGACTCTGCAGCTCCTGGATCTCTTTAAGGTGCCTAACAAGTTGCAAGAGCATCACTTACAAAACTGTATGCACACAGCTGTAGTACATGTAACAATCCCTCCCCTCCAGTCAAGCTTGATCAGCTTGTTTGGTCAAACTCCCATAAACATTTAAGAGCAGATGAAATAAATCCCTTCCACAAGCAATCACTGAATACATATGGCAAAATGCTTGTTTTTTCCATTTTGTCTAAAAATGACTAGGAATTCCAACACAAAGTTTCCAGCATTGTAATCTCAAAACCAGAATAAACATATGTATAAACAAGAACACACAGCAAACAAACCAATCAAATCATTCATCATAAATGCTATAGGAATAGCTAGAACACTGTTTTCTGAAACATATGGCATTGGAGGCTTCAACATTCATACTGAAGCATTTTTTTCAGAGCAGTAGCCAGCTGTCCTAAAAAGTCAGTTTTCAATATAAGTTCAATATTAAGTCACATTCTTTGACTTCTCAATTTTCTTCTAAATCAACAGGGATTCTCCAGGAAGTGGAGAACACCAGAATCACTTACTAGAAATGCAAAGTTGATTGCCATTTTCAAGACAGACAACAATATTTCCACTATCTACTAAATTTCAGAGATATGCAAAAACTTCTGTACATCTACATAGATTTATCCACAGTGTGGCAATCTGTATTTGAACACACACACTGAGATTACAGATTAGAAAATTAACATACCAAGTGCACATACCTGTTGTTTGGGATCATTATGTATTACTTTTCCACTAAATAATTTTATTTCCCATGTAAACACTGACAGTGGGTCCTGACACTTAAGAAAGCTTTAGTTTCTTTTTAAAGAAGGCTAGCTTTTTTCCTTTGTGAAAAGTGAAGTCCAGAGGAAATGAAATGAAATTCATATTAAGCCTTTGCTACACATTTCACACATGCACAAGGGAAGGAAAAAGCCTTACTTCTCCCGTAATCGACGGAGTTCCAATTTCAAGTCTTCATCTTCAATATCTGACTCGTTGTCACTGCTCATGTAGGAAGAATTGAACGAGTTGCTAAGACTCTGAACAGGGAGGCTGATCTTTGACGCTGTGGCCTGGAGGGAGTCTGGACTCGCTGAGCCATCATCCAGATCCTTAGCCATTCCACTCAAGAAAGCAGCCTCTGGTTCAGAGGACGGACCATTCATATGTGGGGACTGCCTCGACTCCAACTCTTTCCTAGGGGCTGCAGCTGAAGAAGCAACTTGTTCCAAGTCCACAGAGAGAGGGAGAGTCATTGGCTCTCTCTCTGCACAGGTGACCTCATCCTGAGTCTTTGACACTGAGAAGCGCCCCACTTGATCTGTTGTTGTTGTTACCTGGAAGCGTCCAACCTTAGTAGGCTGACCATCGTCTACTGGCAACTGCAGCACAGGAACTGGCTGAGGAATGCCATGTGCCACAGCCTCGCTTTTCCGCCCTCCAGCCTGCTTTACCAGGGTGCTCTCTGGACTGCTTCCAGAAAGAGGGGAGGAATCAGAGGAGGTGGTTTCAAATTGCAGCGGCTTAGTCTCAGGTTTGTCACTCTCTTTCAGCACATCATCCACTGCCACAGATACCTACAACAGAAATGCAATCATACAGACCTTCTAAGTTCTTCCTTAGCATGATGCACTTATTTACATTACATAGCAGAACCATACGAGGGGGGGGGAAACAACTAGTTGCTCACTAGTTGCTTGGTGAGGATTTTCTATGAACATCCAAATCAGTTTAACATGGAATCATAGAATGGTTTGTGTTGGGCTGGACCTTTAAGATCATTCTGTTCCAACCCCCCTGCTATAGGCAAGAACACCTCCCTCTAGACCAGGTTGCTCAAAGTCCCATCCAGCCTGGCCTTGAATGCTTCCTTAGAGGGGGGGGATCCACAACCTCTCTGGGCAACCAGTTCCAGTGTCTCATCACCCTCCCAGAAAAGAATTTCTTCCTGATATGTAGTCTAAATCCACCCTCTGCCAGTTTAAAGCCCTTCTCCTCATCCTATCACTACCTGCCCTTATCAAAACTCCCTCCCAGCTTTCCTGTAGACCCCTTCAGGTCCTGGAAGGCTGCTATAAGGACCCCCAGAGCCTACCTGAAACCGTCCCATCTTAAGAATGCCAGCTCCTGTTGTTGTGGAAGCCATACCACTGCTTTCTCCACCATAAGATGCTGAAGCTAAAAAATACCAAACAAATAAAGGAGAATGGGATTGAGAAGAAAATTAGCATGCCTTTGGATTTATGGAACCTATCTCCTTTCTCAGCTCTGCCATGTATAATACCAAACTAAAATTTTAAAATTGTTTTTCTATAAAGTTCTGTTGTGCAGTAGACTTACCAGAAATGTACTTTTATATTGTGATAAAAAAGTACACTTTGATTTCAAGCAAGGATGTGAAGTAGCCAAAAATAAAAAACAAATGAAATTTATCTAAGAAATAGCATATTTCAATTCCACACCCATGGTGACTACATAAAATTCAAACGCTGGAGGCAATTTCTTAATAATAGAAAAGTGGTACATTTAAGAAACGGTATAAACATTTACTCAGGGCTGCATGAAGCCTTCAGAGCTGGATCCTTAGATGGTAGCTCCTGATTTTATTATTGTATGCACTAGCAGTATAAGGTTACAAAGCTGAAAAATAACATTCTATTTTTAAACTAATTCTGTTGGACAGCTTGTTGGGTTTATTCAGCAACTTTTCACTTTGCTTACTTTTACTATCTAAAATTAACAGGCAAATGAACTCATTTTCTAATAGGAAAAGGAGCTTAATGACGTAGTTATCTATCAAGCACACCAGAAAGGGACTATTTTATTTTTCTGTTGGCTTTATTAGCTTTTAAAGTTTTGTCATTGCACTTGCAATCTAAATGTTGTATATCCTTACAAGTTGCTAACCTGTTTCAGTTTTGCATTAAATCTCTGTGCTAAGAAATCATCTGAAATAACAACGGCTGTCTTACCATCTTTTAGAGGCTGTGCTGCTGTGGACACCAGACCAGTAACTGCTGTAGATGCTACTGAGGGCACAGACTAGAAGTTCAGGAGAGAAATAAAATAAAAATAATCAGAATCAGCAGTTCGATTCAACTCCAAGTAATCTACCATAGTGCATGTAACAGCATTTTTTAATTCCATCAGGTCTAACAAACGATCCATCGTAGGACTAACAGAAGATCTCTTCATCTCCAAAGCAAGCAACATCAGCAACAGATTTTGCATGCCTTGCAACACAAGACTACCAGCAGAACCTCCCCTTTTGCTCTGCAGAAGTGATGCACGAATAGTCACTTGGAGATCAATGTTAATCACTATCATCCTTTTCTATCATCTTTTTATATCAATATTTCAATAGACTCTTAAGAATTGAAACCTACGCTTTAAACATCTCTCCTAAATTACGACTGACTTCCCACATAGTGCTAGTTTAGCACCTTCTTTTCCCCTGTTTCCCATTTTAGTTCTGTGATATTAATGGCTTTGCCAAAAAAGATGGGTTATGAATTAATCCCAGAACTAGCCTCAGGATATACAGTATCTATTGCAACCTACATACTTCCTCCATTTCGCTTGGCTCTGTCCCACACACTATAGGAAGACTCTCTGTTTTTAATTAGAAGCCTATAGACTCGTGCAGTGATATTAAAGGCAGTGACTTAAGTGCATGAACTTGAGAAAACACTGGTTACTTGAGAGTACTATTTGTCAGTATTGCAAACGTACACAGGCAGGAGCTGATGTCACTGGAACGGTCTCTGGACTAAGGGTTCTCCTCAGCTTAGCATCCAGATCTTCCAGTGGCTGCTGGGACTGATGAGAGAGGAAACAGTAAACAGCTGCCCCAGCTCAAGAAAAATACACACATTTCTAAAACTATAGCCACATTTAATACTAAAATTTAAAGCAGTCAGCACTGTTTTTATATTTCTGTCTTTCCCTTGCTACGTGCTTACATTTAACATGTGCAACACAGGAAGGCTGAAAACAATTTAAGCAACACATTTGGATAAGCAGAGAAGAAACATTAACTGAAACATCCATTTTTCACAAAGTTTGCATTCCCACCCTTGAGAATTGTGTAAAGACAGTCTAAGTCTCCAGGTTCTACAGTCTTTGGTCTACAAGGATTACACAAACTTGTTATGACTAAGAAAACTCACAAAAAAAAAAAAAAAAAAAAGAAACATGCCCATACTTTCAAAAATTGAGGAACAAATTATCCAAAAACTGGTCTTGGGATGACATGCAGTTGGACTGCTGGTTATGAAACTTGTACAAAGGAAAAATGTTGCTTAATGAGCTACTGACAAAACCAGAAAGAAAGACAAACCCATCTATTCTAAGACAAGTCAATAATTTTCCAGTCCATATTATACAACAGCAGCAAAGGCTCTTAGCAGTTATCTAGATTTGATCCAATCAATCTTCTCCCATTTTGTCTCTTACACCAAGGCAGGTTTTAGAATTCAAATGAGAGGTGAAATTAGGTAAGCTGTTTGCAAGTGACAAACCAGAGAGCTGTATTTTGGCCTTTTCTATACCACAAATCCTCATAGAAACATCTACAGTAAACAGAAGAAAGCCGTTAGCAGTAGTGCTGTAGGATGAACCACACCAGTGGTTAGCGCTGCGTTGAGTTTGGGGGAAAATGATTACCAAGATAACCAGTTCTAAGCGATGACCTGAACCAGTATGAACTTAATGTGACTCATTTTAATTGTTTCCAGATCCATTTGCTGCCACTGTTGGTGAATACAGATGAATTATCACCAAATTGGCAACTCCCCCCTCATTCAGAAAATCATATTTCAAAAGAACTGGCTGAACAGTATTAAAAAAAAGCTACAGGTTCCAGCAGCTGGAGGAAAAGATTCTGCTTGTTAACACTATCTCACAGCTCCACATAAGACAACTAGCTTCTTGCTCAGTTTGGAGCCAGAACATACCCATTCCTAATGAATCATGTTCAGCCTACCAGAAAGCAGCAAGTAAAAGCAAATACAGTGGCACTCTCCTTTCCATGATACAATTAATGAGCAACACCCCAACTCCGTTTTCGCGCATGCAGAGCACAAATTTCTGCCTTTTCACACCGCATAATACTTCCTAAATAATGGATGTATTCTTATCACTTTCAAAGATTTAAACATACTTCTTAGAAAAAAGAAAACCTAGGAGCAGCTCTGAATACAAAGGCCATCTGCAAGGACTCACTGACTGAGCCTGGATGTATTACTATTACTAACTTGCATTTGCTCCATTACGAGGACTAAGAAGGTGGTAGAATAAGAACAGTCAAGACAAGATGCCAACTTTCAGCATCTTGTAATTCTGGCTTATTAGACTGTTTCCATTCTAACCTCTATTCTAGATCCTATGCAAACTTGTCTGAGAGATTCCCTAGAAAAATGACATCTATTGGGGTACCCAGAGAAATCACTGAATAAACATAGCTTCCGCTCAGACAGTGTTGGAGGATAAAAAACCGTAAAATGGAAAAAGGGTCTATTAATGCCATAACCAAAATAAAAGCTGCTACCATGCCTTGCTGCTCAACTCCTTTCATGCCTTTGGAACCAGGTATTACTACATTCCTCCCATTTGAGAGACAAAAGGAAATCCTGCTCAAAAAGAATCTTTGAAGATTAGTATCCAAATATATATAATTCTGTTTTTGCAGTTTTAGCTGTAGAATTAATGGAAGTCATGACAGCTCATTAAGCAAACTTGCCTTAGCAGAGTTTAAATTATTTACAATTTTCTTCCATTATCCCTTTGTGTAACAGTCAATTTAAATCCTTTCAGACTGAAAAGTTCTCACAGGCTATTGTAAAGCCCAACAAAGGAACAGCTTGCAAAGAATAAAACGACCTTTTACAGGTCATTTTAAATGTCAGCACTTCCATAAGTGAAACTCGAATTCAAGAGCACTGTTTCAAGAGATGAGAGCCAGACCGTTACCAGAGTGTCAAGAAGCAGAACTTTATCAAGGTTAGCTCACAGTCAGCACTAAAATTCTGTGGTCAGAAATCCAAAAGAAGTCCAGCCAGGAAGCTAGTTAGTACAAGCCTTCGTACTGTAGCTATTATACTGGCAGTGCTTTAAAATTATAGTTAAGTCTTAAATGAATAATTCCTTTCTACGAAAAGACAGTAAAAATGCAGATTTAGATGTATTCCAAGAGTATTTTCCGCAGACCAAAGCCACAGATGGAAGAGGTGAATATTATGAAAAGTACACATACACAGGTAGTGTCACTTTTACAAGAAAATTACTCTGAGCCTCATGTAGGCACCTTTTCAACCATAATGTCTATACAGGTTTGAATAAAAAAACAAAAAAAAAACAACCAAGGCCAATTCTATCCCAAGGACATTTGAATATTATTCTAAAAATATAATATATCTTTATGTATCTAATATAATTCCTTCAGAAGCACCATACTTCCATCTCAAAATCTCATGGGTTTTGCCTAGTTATTTTTTCAGCTGTTCTTGGTATATTGAACCATAATGTTTCCATCTTACATTTCACTGCACAGCTTTAGAAGATCCAAAAAACAATTTTGTCTCATTTTTCTTCTACATTTGCTCTGTTTCTTAAAAAATCGAAGTGAAGGCAGTTTTAATCTCTATGATCTTGAACTGATCACCTGTCCAACTCACATATAGAACATGCAAGCTAACTGCTGCACACACAACAGAAATTGAACAAGGTGAAGCCACTGTTATATTTCAACTCCTGTTTAGGATTAGGAGCATCACAGACCTTTTACAAAACTGAAAATCTGTTGAAATTAGAGTCTCGTAGTAACCACAGGAAAAAACTTAACCAAGAACTCTGAAAACCAGTAGATCTGTATTAATGTTAACAATTAATTGTGGTATGTACAGCTTCGATGAAGAGCTACTTTGCTCCTGTAACTTTTCACTGTATGAAGAAAACTCACCTGCGTTACATTTTTACAAAAACCTCTACTGTTCAGATTGAAATACTGAATAACTTCAAGTCTGAATTACTCTTCCTGTATTTCAGACATTGAGTAGAGCAGCCCAAAGGACAAGCTAAATCTACAGTGCTGAAGCAACTCTGCCCACTGCTACGTTTACACACAAGGGGTTACTATGCCAAAAGACAAGAAAAACAGACATTAATAACATGCAATGGAGAGTTTAATCGAAACATGCCCTTTGAAAGAAAAAGAGGCAGATAAAATCTGCTGACTCGTGTAGCACCTGAGTTAGTGAAGGTCCTGGAAAAGGTGGCAGCGGCTCACTGGACGGAGTGCCAGCTGGAAGTTCAGAACCTACTGGTAGCACCTATGGATAACCAAGAGGAAACGCGAGTCCATCAGACACAGAACAACCGAAGGATCAGATACCAAGCTACGGTCAATCATGCCCTATGACAGAGGCCTCTGTGTTTTTTCTGTGGAGACTTCCTTCCTGGAAAGTCAGCAGAGAATCTTTGTGGAGTTCAGCAACAATGAAAGTAGGTGGCTGTTTGTCAGTTGTTTTGTTGCTGTTCTGTGGAGGCTTTTTTTCTTTTTTTTTGGTTGATTGGTTGTCTTTGTTTTGCTTCTTTTGTTTTAGTTGTTTGGTTTTTTGCTTGTATTGTTCAGATCCAGATTGAGTAGTCACAATTTCCATTATAAGGAAGCTGCTCTGTCTATGAGCATAGCAACTCAGTTACTTTCTTTTCAAGTCTGCAAGAAATGCCACAGCAATATTTCTTAAATAATTTTTTTTTTTTTTAAAAAAAGCTAAATTTCCAAGAGGCTTCATTTATTAAAAAGTGCAAGAGTGCACTCAACCTCCTCACAACAGATCTATTTTAATGGCTCATTAACAACACCAGGCCATGTGCCTCTGGCAAACAGCTCCAATCAATTATTTGAACAGAGAAAGTCATGCCTGAGGATGTCTCCACTTGTTGAAAAGCGTATTTATCAACTTCTTACACCAATTTCCAGAGCTGTTTTTTTTGTTGTTGTTGTTGTTGTTGTTTTTGTTTTGGTTTGGTTTGGTTTTTTTGTTAACCTGAAGGGTGTTGTGCACCCACAGAAGATGACTAGGCCATGCAATCAGATAGGGGCAGGTCATCCAGGTTATGTGGTAGGAGTTAGAGAAACTGGAAAGGTTAGAATGAGGGATCAAAGCCTCCCAGCAAGGTCAGACAGTACATTCCAGTTAGTTATTTCCATTGTTAGGGAAGTGGGAACTCCTAGGAATTAAGTGACCCATTACACAATTTGCAAGTCTTCTTCTCAGCTGTAACCTTGAGGCTTGACCACAACTTCTGAAGTTTCAGAAACATAGGACAGTCCTATGAGTTACAGCATTAGTCACCTGGCTTCCCTTTATGACAGTGAACACCATTGGATGTGTGTAACTGGCCCAAAATCCTACTGTGGTCTTCAACAAGCAGAACCAGTTCTATCAATGTTATCACAGCTTAACTAATAGTTCAGATTGCAGTAATAACTGACCAGTGAAGATACTGGACACAATTATCTCTTGTTCCCAAAATGTTGAGGCAGGAACTAAGCCAAGTTGCATTACAGCAGTTTTTCTGTGTGCTGAGATCATATACACGGACATTACTGGTTCTGATGCATGGTGACTCACTAAGCTGTGGTAAATTCATCCTTTAGTTTATAAATAAGAGGCAAAATACACTTTACATACATTCATAATACAAGTCAAAAGTGTTCAGGTTAACAAGTTGACTGCAAACAAAACATCTCCTTCTCCTACAGTGTAGTAAACCCCAGAAAAATAAAGCATTAAACTCTAGAAGCTCAAAAATGACACAAAGTGAAAATGAAATTTGAAAAAACACAGAAGAATTTAGAAGCGAAGAATTCAAAGAGGAGATATTTTTCCCTACAACAGACAGCAAAAATCCCGAACATTTATTCCATTTAAATCTAAGCACTTGTAATTATAGGTTTCCACTTTGCAAATTTCTACCTGCTCCAATTATTCCTAAATCATTAGCTAGTTTTTACAATTTTCTGATCCTTCTTTAATTCTCAGCTCTATTTCAATATAAATGAATGGCCCTGCATCTAAGTTTCTTCCCCAGCTTCCTAGACACACTTTCCTGCTGAAGTGGCAGAAATTGTCTACTTTGCAACTGAATACAATCTAAAATGGAAAGAAGTGCCTCACTGGGCTCAAAAAGTAACTGCTGAGTCCAAGTTGTTGAATTACTTACAATTCTAGTGCTGCGCACTATGTGAGAGGAAAAAATATCATTTACAATATCTGCTGGGTGTTTGAATTAAAAAAAAAAAAAAAACAGTAAAGAATCTCCAGAATCTTTGCTGCATTCATTCCCTTCACCTCTCCATCTTTTTCTTCCCCATTAACTTTACTTCAATGTGGTCCTGTCAGAGGTGGATTTAGAAGTCAATGCATAACACATGAGAGAGATTTATACCCTCAGTAGCATCAGTATGTTTTACTTGACTTTCAACAAAGAAAACTCAAAGTAGGGAAACAATATGAATACAGCTGAGAATAGCATAGCTGAGAACAAAACAAATGGGAAGGAATTCCTAGAAAACTATAAGAACAAGTGAAATAAGGAGAAATCTGCAGAGGCTGTGGAAATCCTCAAAAGTTATTGCTATAACAGTTATGACATTCCCTCAGGCCTCAAGCTTCACGTTACTCTAACACGTTTTTCCAATTAGCTGTAACCTCCTCATTGTATGTCAAATTATTCTATCCGTTCTCGTGCTGATCATACCTGATTTGATTTAAGAAAAATATCTACACACAGGAATGGTACCATAGTTATACCCCATCTATCTCTTCGCTTTTGGGAAAAGGACTGGGAAAGTAACAATGTTAGTCTGGCTCATGGAGGCACATGGTAGAGTTCTGATTCTTGGAAATTCTTAATTTATTCACCCTTGGTCAAGGTAAGAAACCTTAATTTTTATTTTTCCCCATTTGCCTTGCTTCTCTGAACAGAGACACCATGTAATCTGAAGGATTCTTAAAAAATTCAGTTTAGTTCATCCCTACTGTCAAGGAAAGGGCTAATGATAAAAAGCCAAACTGCAATCAAGACTAGTTTGTGAAACATAAAATGATCCTGGCTTATTTTAACAATTATGGATAAAAGGCTATTTTAAGCAAGGCTCCCAAACTTCTATCTATTTTAAAAAACACTAATAAAGACAAGACACAGTTGCTTCACTCTTTGTAGTTTAGGAGTATGAAAAAGGAACAGCGATACTAGAGAGTTCTCAGACACACAGTATAGAATTGGATGTTCATTTCAGTATGGACCAAAGAAAAACCCTCTTGAAAAAAAAGAAAAAAAAAATGAAAACACCCAGAAGATAAACGCTTCCTTCCAATATTATAACCAAAGACACCTTTACCTGAATATTTCTGCTTTAAAAAATAGATTCTGTTCAAGAAGTCTATTGACTTATATTCTATAAGACGATTGAATATCCACATAAACACTGCATTTCTTACCGGTACCCTGCTAAGCGGAGGCTTCGAGGGAGAGGTCCCTGGTTTCACTACTGCTGTTGCAACGCTGCTTGGTGCTGAAATATAGCTTACTGGGGTGATCACTTGCCCAGGCGTGGCGACTGGTGTCAGCACTGGCAAGCCAGCTGGTCCAAGAGGCAAACTGCTCGGAGGTATACAAGTGCTAACGGATGTCAGGGGTTTAGTTGGTGCAAGAACAGTGGTTGGGATCCCAGGAATAACAGTAGTTTCCATGATCAGTGACGTCTCCAGAGATACTGATGGATGCGCTGCTCCCACGTTACCATGTTCACTGAAGAGAGACCGTAGCTTTTCTTCCAGGGTCTTTATATCATCAATACCAGGTGCTTTGGACTGAGCATCAGCGTCAGCCTCCAGACAGTGAATATGAGGTTGGTTGGGTAATGGAGCTGGCTGGGGCTGGCTGTGTATCAATGTTTGCTGTACTGCAGGCAAATTAGTAACTGGCTGTGGTAAGACACCAGGTAGGGGAACCTGGGGCAACACAGGTGTTGCACCTGGAATCTGGGATAGGACAGGTGTTGATGTAACTGCTGATGGGATGAGTAAGGGATGTATCACTGGCTGAGTGACCGAACCACACAAACTTGTTGCTACAGAGGATGATAAAGGTGCAGAGATTGGTAGCGATAAGCCAGCTGCACTGGAGGGCTGTGATTTATCTGCGGACTGCCCACTCTCAGGTAGTGATTGTGGAGCACTTACAACTGTTGTTTCTGCCAGACTGGAGACAGAGCCACTACTGGTAAGCTGAGGAAGCTGCAAAGACACATTCTGAGCCTGAGACAGGGCAACAGATGTCTGCGGTGCTGCCAAACTACTTACAATTTGAGGAGTAGATTGAGATGTCACAGCTGGTGCAACGACACCAAGACCAGTGACACCAGGAACCTGGGTAGCAGATAGTGCCAAAGAAGCTGGTGTGCTGATGCTAGGGGTAATGTCTCCAGTTACTGGCTGAGCAGGCTGGGATGTGATAGTTAAGGAGAAAGAAGCAGGGGCGCTCACACTGGAAGCCACACCACCAGACAGCTGCTGTCCAGATTGTGAGGCCGGAGGTGGAGAAACAGAACTTGGCACACTTGCACTTAGTGCAACTCCAACAGCTGCATTTTCTGAAGGCAAAGTAACAGAACTTGGAAGAGAAACACCTGTGCTAGAAGGAACAGATATTGAAGGAGCAGCTACAGATGCAGGAGGTGCACCACTGCCTGCCATGGTAGAAAGCACAGGTGGAAATGGTGGTATTGTTTGATTAAACACTGGAGGAGCTGTACTCGGTCCTTCTGTCATTTGACCATGCCCAATCTCAGAGAAAGCTTGTTGTAAGCTCAGCGATGATGCAGAGTGGGAGAGATTCATTCCAGGACCATGTAGTGGAGATGCAGCAACTGAAAGAACACAAAAAATATCAGTCCATCTTGGAAAGTTCATTAGAGTACTACCTCCTATCGATAAACTTAGACAAAGTTAACTTCCTAGCATAATTTAAAAAAAAAAAAAAAAAAAAAAAAAGATAAATCCAGGCACACATTGAAAATGTGGAATTAAGGTTTCAAGACTTTTGCAGGCAGGCCATCAACATTTTTTCCTGCAAGAATTCTACACAGTATCAGCCAGATTATCATCACTTCTTATCAGCACAGTCACTTCTCTACTTCCAGATACTTAAGGGGTGCTAAGGAGCTTGTCAGTTTGGTAAACTAACTTCAGTTTTGAATAGCATTTCTTAGCCTTCAGAATTTAAGAGTTCAGATAACTTACCAACATCTGAAGTTTCTTTTCCCCCGGGAACAGGAGAGGTGAAAAAGCCCTGTTCTTTTAACCGACTTTCAGGGACAGGGCTGACAATGAACCGTCTTCCCGCAGAATGGACAACCTGGGTAAAGGAGCTAGGAGGAACCCCTAAACAGAAAGAAGTTGGATATTTAGTGATACGTAGCTGCAACAAAATACATAACCTGCAATATGGAATGTGAACTCCATCATATAAAATAAAAACCTGGCAGCACCCATCCGCTGAAATCGAAAAAGGTAACTGTTGAAAAAAAACAAAATCACAAAAGACTTACCTATTCTTTGTGGCATGGAAGATGTAGGATCTGGCTGTTTGAACTCTAATTTCTGTAAAGTAAGATAAAATTTAAAGTTCTATTCTGAAACAGAAACCCACACGATAGTATTAAAACGCTAGCTTACTGAAATGTGGGCATTTAAGTTAAGCAGTGCCATGGACTCAAGCACCATTATCAAAGCAGTGAAATTCTGCCTAGGCAACTGTCAGCTATAGCGTTTTATAGATTACCAGCTCAGTGACCATCAGTGTAACAAACGGATCTAAGCATCTTCTTCTTAAACACTCCAGCCCATTTCCTTAAATGAATTTCCCACAGATAAGTAAACGGAGGATGGATGTTTTGGAGTAGTTTTTGATAGAAATAAGGCAGAGATTCTGGAAATGTCACCCCTTATGATTCCCAGCAACCAGCTTGAAAACCTTTGTTTTCTAACTGATGCATCCAATCCTAGTTGCTCACTGAGTAGAGGGCCTGGAATCCAGTCTCTTGGGATTTAGTGAATAACAAAGGATTAGGGATTTTAGCATCCTGCCTCACAACTTCAAACCCAGGAAGCCCCAGCATTTATGACTGTCTGTCTAGTACTCTATTATGAGATTCAGCAGCTTTAAAAGTGTCAGAACCTGACAAAAAACAATGGCTTTTTGTTATTTAGTTTTCTAAATGAATTTTTTGTTTTCGATCTGATCTGAAGCTTTGCCTGTTAATTTTGTTTTTAAGCTTTGCTATTCTCATGAAAGATTTCAGTTTCTTGCTAGCACTACGCAAAACCGTAACACCCAAAACTGAAAAAATGATTAGCTAAGGCCATTCATCTTCTACATACCTGTGACCCTGGAACGAAGCCATCGTCTTTTGTCTGCATACTCTCCAAACCCTGATCACCTTCTGGCTCCACACTTACATCCTCACTCAGCATTTCATCTGCTTTCTCAATGATCTCTCGTACCTGTTCCACGAATGAGTCTCTCTCAGTTGCTAAAATAAACTCATTCTGCACCTGTGAAGAGAACAGAGCAGTAAGATTTTTAATTGATATGAAATATTTCAGAACTATGTATTGAATACTGAGTAACCATAATATAACTTGTTTGTGTTTGTCCTCCTTCCACTGTTCTTATGCATAAGATAAAGTTCATGACATCCTGGAGAAAAAACATTTGCTTCTGAAATTATCTCCAGCACTGAAATATTTGTCCTACTTTGCTCTTTGCAGTGGAACAACATTCTGTGTCATTTTCATCAGATTGATATTTCAGACTTCCCCAGTGAAACTCAAAATTTGCAACTTCATTTACTACCATATTTAAAGAAAGATGTAAATGTAAAAAAATCAAAAATTTTATATTGCAAGATAAATTCTGTGCTACTCTATTTCTACATCATACTGAACTTCTACCCTATGGAGGCTATACATCACTAGTTTCCAGAAGTCTGGCTGCTGCAGTACATAAACACAAGAATTATGTTAAGAGAAAGTGTGTTCAGCCTATTTAGTTTCAATATACTGTATTGCTTTATAAAAATACATCCTGCTGTTTACATTGGAATAAATAAGCTTAAACAAATACACTCGGTATTTATACAACAGTTCTTAGTTTGTCAGCCTAGCCCAGGAGAAAATTACGTCTCCTGATGGGCATAAAGTTCTAGATTAAGTTGTCTACGTTTGGTTGCGTACTTCAAATGATTTGCTTGCACTGTGAAAGCACAGATCACTTATTTTGTTTGCACTCCTCATCAACCGTCTGTTCTTTTATCAAATATACTGTTTTATTCCTCCATAGGATCATTTTACATATGAGGAAATGTAAGATCTATACTTTCTGTGACACTTCATTTATTTGACATGTCAATACATGTACATATCCAAGAACCAAATTCTTCCTCTTCTGTGGAAAAGTCTTCCTGTGTTACTAATTTGATTATTTCTGAAAAAATATGAATCCAGCCATTATTCTGCTGTCTCTTCAAGTTAAAAGATAAATACCACCACACAGGTGCCCAAGTTGGGGGAAAGATAGTGCTTTGTGTCAGGATGAACTTCCAACCCACTTCTCACTCCACTTCAGCAATACCAAAGTGATCTCATTTTTGCTCAAATTGTACCAGCTCAGGAATATAATTTTAAATTTAAAAAAAAAAAAAAAAAAAAAAAAGAAAAAAGTGTGGGAGGTTCTATTCCACACTTCATGGTACTTGCATTTAAACATATCTGTATATGACAAGTTCTCTTCTGTTTCCTGACCATTATCTGTTGAATGGAGAGGTTGCTTTGTTTGTTTTCCTTTGAGATGCACTGACCAATTTAGTCAGAAGCAGCAGTCATTCCTGTTCTCCAGAAATCAGAAAGAAGTTCCCTCAAGAGGAAATCTTGCTGTTTCAGTTGAGAACAGCAGCAAAATCTCAATGCTTAAGCAGAATTGTAAAGACTTAACAATGTTTTGGTCTTCAAAAAAAAAAAAAGCAAACTATTTAAGTTGGTGCTTTCAGAAAGCTGTCTGCAGTTTTTCCAAAATATAGACTGTGAAAAAACAAAAGTAGATACAATTGATAAAAAAGACATTTTAGGATAAAAAAAATTGACTCAGGTGTTCTCTGTGAACTGAGCATGTAATATTAAGTGTCAACTTTGTATAATACTCTGCACAGACAGTCTCTAGCTGCGCTTACGTACCTATTAAGTGAGTGCAGAAAAAAAGGAGGCAGGCCATGCTACACAAAAGAAAGCAAGTGAGAAAATAAGACTACTTATATTACTACCAGATTAAGTGATTAAGACCAGATTCAATTTTCCACCTCTGAAATCCATCTTACCATAATTGATGCTATTTCCTCAGGGTTGTCACCATCCAAATCAAATTTGAAAGTAACCATTTTCCGATTGTGTGTCTCTAGCTGGCATTCCACTACCCGGTCACCTTTATTTGAAACCTAAAGCAAAAAAAATAATGGTTCAAATTAAAAGCATAAAAATGTAATGTTTGTACTTCAAAGTCCACTGAGAAAGACCAACAGTACTGCTCTAAGACAAACACATTCTCTTTTTCTAAACTAATAAACAGTACAGCAACATTTTCTGAGGATTTGCCAATTACTCATATGACCAAGCTTACCTTGCCCTCACCTTTCTCTAGGGCTCCAAATGCTCCCTTGTTCCTTTCTAACTTATATGTCACTAGCTTAGCCTTACTAATAAGATTAAAGCAAACATTCAGAAATAGTATGTGTAAACACTGGAGGCCACGCAAGCGAATTCTGCCATCTGAAATATTCTGAAAAACTCTTAACTATGACTTTTGGAACACTAACACGAGAAGCAGAAGAAATACAGTGGACAGACTGCGTGCTCAAAGTGGCAACAGTATTAAACAGTCACTTCAAAATTAAAACAAAACAAAACCACTCACATTTAGAATTCTCAGTTTTGGCCTAGCAGTCTTCTCATGGCGAGAGCGACTGCGGACAGACCTCCGCATATGACGCTTGGTAGTCCTCCCTTCATGCCTCCCACTAGAAGCTGGAACATTCTCGTTGCCATCACTCATTCCTGAAGCAACATCAGAATGTGCACTAAAAATGAAAACAAAACTTTATATTAGTACTCATGCACTCTATATCAGCAACAATATGGTTTTGCCCTACCGATACCATTCTCTTCAGGATAGGAGTGGACGCCTGTTCATCACAGAGTACGGGAGAAGAATAAACACTGAACATTCTGAGTTGGAAGAGAGCACAGAGCACCACCCAAAATCCAAACCCTATGTCTGAGAGCAGTGTCCAAAAGCTTCTTGAACTCCAGCACTTGGGGCCATGCCCTCTGCCCTGGGCAACCCATTCCATGCCCACTGCCCTCTAGTGAAGAACCTTTTCCTAACACCCAACCTGCTCCTCCCCTGACACAGCTCCATGCCATTCCCTTGGGTCCTACTGCTGTCACCAGAGGGCAGAGCTAAGTACTGCCCCTCTATTCCCTGTGAGAAGCTGCAGCCACCATGAGCCTCTTTTCCAGGCTGAGAAAACCAACTTGCTGTTCCTCACGTGTCCTTCCCTCTAGACCCATCTCCATTTCCACAGCAGTCCTTTGAACACTCTCTAACAGTTTTATGTCTATTGCATGAAATTAAAATTCAGATTGGTAGATAGGTGAGAAGAAAACCATGCTTACCTATCCATAGAGGAAGCCAAAGGGGTAGACTGAGCAGGCTGCGTTGATGGCAGAGACTCTGAAGGAGCAGTCTGTGAGGCCCCTTGAGTACCCTATGGACAGAAACCTACATCAAGAACTCTAAATAACTCCATTCCTTTCGAAATCACCCATTAGTCTTCAATCATTCTACTCAAATCAGTTATAAAGCTAAAAGCACTACTTTTTTTAGAACTTTGAACAGCTAGCTAGCATCTAGAGAGCTTTAATTTACAAGGCTCAAAAGCAAACTGCAGTGAAGCAAATAATCATCCTGAGGAGGGGTGGGGCAGAAAATCAGCCATCCTTCTACAGATGCACGTTGCTACAGTTTGCCATGCAGCCACAGTCTTACTAACAGAATGTGCAAAAGGCAAGCCAATGCAGAACACAAAGACAATTCAAATTCTCCCTAGCAACATCAGTGCTGCAGGGAATGGGCAAAATGAGAGAATCTCAAAGGCTATCGGTAGCAGTTTTTCATTGATATGGCAAAATATTCTACAGTACTAGCAAGAAGTGAAGTGTTAACAGGTTTTTTGCCTGTAAGAGGTACACTCACTTCCCAACAGAACAGCCAGTGGCAACAAGGTCCCCACATTGGCATGACATTCTGCTGTAAGAAAAAGGTTATTTGAAACATTAATTTCCATCTGAAGACAAGCATGGAAGGGATTAGTTCCCCACACACATTCACTGCTGTATAATCTGAAGACTCTAAATGCATTGTTATGTTTAACATAGTTACCTCCACAACTGCCTGCTGCGAGGAGGCTGATGAGGCCTGTTGTGCTAAACTCACTGTAGGCTGGGGCACTTGAACCTGTCCTCCTACGCTGCCCATAGGAACTAAAACGTTCTGCTCCACATACGGCTGCACAACAGGAGCAATATAGCCTGGCTGAGTCATTACATCTGTGGGTAGGGGAGGGGACAGTATGGCAGAAGGAATGCTAACAGAAGCCACAGCAGAGGAAGGTGCAACACTTGAGTCCCCTGGGTACTGAGGTGGCAGCCGAGATGGGAAGCCCTGTAACAGAAACGAGGGAGTCAAGTTAGTGAATGCCAGAGCTGATAAGAAAACAACACAAAACAAAAAAATACATATATCCGTTTCAGGGGAAACTTCTAACTGCTTTCCTTTCCCTTCTGTACTTATTCAAGTGCTTCTGAAGACCATCTTCACACAGAATAGCTGTTTAAGAAGCCAAAGCTCAGCTTGCAAGTCACTATGCTTCAACAAGCAAATTTCCGTTCAAAATTTCAAGCCTTAGGCAAAACAATTTTCACCTCCCAACTCTCCCAAGTTACCTATTGGACTTAATATTTTAAGACCTGTGGCTTGACATGAGTTTGAAGGATTTTTATGCTGAACTGCTCAGAACATACTATACACCTGTTGCTGATTCTCAAGACGAGTAAATACCTTGCATGTCTACTGTCCTCTCACGATGAACCGACCCGGGAACCAAGAAGCATGAATTCCTACACAGTTTCTATTCTGCAGCGCTCTACATTGTCTCAGTGACTTTACTTTAGAAGAACAACTATATGCCAAGTCACTATTTTTGTCACTACTCATATTGCCATGACAATGATTGCACAAAGTAGCCAAAGTAGTCCTTGCCGATCAGTCTAGCATTTCATAACTTGCATCATATACTTACTTCTCGTTCAAGATCCTTGTTGCCCGACTTATTTCCAGAAAATCCAAGTCCACACCTCCCCATGTCCCTTCCCCAAATTGGAATAAAATACTGACATTGCTGAATATGCTGCCACAGATTATCTTTCCCAAACACAACCCATATGAGTTTTTAAATCACAATGTTTTGGGACTTTTTTTTTTTAAATTTAATTCAAGTTGGCAGATCTCTTAGATACATAGCTATTGTCCTTTACACAGCAGCTGACAAAAGTCCTGCACTACACTTGTCATTTTAGACAAACTCCACTGCCAAATGAGAGAAAAAAAAAAATCAGAAGGTGACTAGAAGACACTTTTTCTCCTCCCTCCTTAAAAAGGACTTTTACCACAAAATAGAATTCATCTCCATGGCCTTGTGGCTCTCTTATGAGAAGTGAGTTGGCCCAGGCACACAGTTCTGAGCTGGTACCTTAGAGGAAGAGGTGAAAGTCGGAGGGGAAGAGCTCTGCTGGCTTGCAACAATACCTGGTAAAGAGCATCTCCAGCAGGAAGTGAAGCATCAGCAGCTTGTCCAATGCTGACTGGCAATCCCATGGACTGGACAGCCGGCTGCAGGAGCTGCGGGAGAACCTGGCTGGGCAACTGAGCCACAGGCTGCATCAGCGTGGGAAGCTGGCTAGGGACAACAGTTGATCCTACAGGGACAGCGGATGCCGCAGCAGATGTTGCCAGCGTGAGCAATGGCTGATTCATGCCGCCTGCCATTGAAATTGGCAGTGACTGGAAACCTGGCTGAGCCACTGACACATGAGGAGCTGCGACGGGCAACTGAGAGACTGAGAACTGGGGGACAATGGAAGTTGGCAAGGGTTGTCCCACGGGCAGAAAGTGAGAACCAATAGGGACTGATGGGGCAACTGAAGGTTGAGGGAGAGAAGGTGCTGCAACAGGTAATTGAGGTTCGCCTTGGATGATCGACACTGGTTGGGAAACAGGAAGCTGGGGAGGTAAAGAAAATAGAGATAGATTTTTCGGTTTTTAAGCAGGGTTGCAGAAAGCAGAATTTTTATGCATTAGTCAAAGAAAGAATTATTCAAGTTATAGCACTCTGTTAAAGTGGGTGGGGAGCACAGTTGGCAGAGTGGCTGGGAAGTTGGCTGGAGTTCCAAAAGGTCCTCACTTCGCAACACTTCCCTTGAAGGACTTCACAGGCTCTTGAAATAGACCCCCACAGAGGGTAAAAGAGCAACATCAGAATACCCTAAAGCACTGACTTGTACACAAACAGAATCCAATTCCCCTCAATTCTGTCCCCAGAGCCAAGCCTGCCTTCTTACAGGAAAGAAGTGCAAATGTTTCCACAAATCTGTCAGCTTTGGGTATGGGGACTAAGGAATGGAGAATGAAAAGCCACTGTGCCAGCATTCAGAGAATGGCAGGGGATATGTCAATTAAAGCCAGCAAATGATGCAACTGGAGAGACAGTTAAGATGAACAAGCAACAAAACAATTTCAAAAACAAAAACAAGGCTCACATGTTCAAGATAGAGATATGAGCCAAAATGAAGTAATACTCAGTAACAGAAGCTTCTTGATCAGGCAGTAAAGGAGAAGAGCTGAATAAGAGAGATGACAAGAGTGGAAAAGGCAGTCCTTATGGTTCACTACCTAAATATGTGAACATGTGTTTTACACACAATGGTGCAGAAGATGTACATTCTATGGGAAGCAGAGAAATGACAAGTTCCTGAAAACGCATTCATAGTAATCCATTCATCAATATGCTTCACGATACTTTGACTGTTTAAAGACCTTAGAGAATGGAAGTGCTATCCTTCCCTCAAACAAATTACTCATGACTGCCATGTGTAAAAGAAAGTGTTTCCAATACATATTTTCCAGCAAAATTGACAGTTGCAGTATCCTGAGAATACTACTATCTGGATGAATGTTTTGGAACCATTAGAAAAGATGACAAAAGTGAAAGTAGCAGCATACTGAATTTGCCAGGTGTGAGGTATCTTGTACTGATAAGAAAAATATGGCTTACCTGTGTCTCTGCTGCTGCCTGAGGCATTGGCATAACCTGTGAAGTCTGAGTTTGAGAGACAGTTTGTGTGGGAGTGGCACCAGTAGAAACTGATGGCTGCTGCAGCTGGTATTGTCCGGGTTGTTGAGAAGAAGCTGGCTGCTGGGCATTCTACAGTAGGGAAAAGATGCAGAAGCTATTTTTAACACCTCACAGAGGAACTTTTAAAAGCCTATCTATTTAAGTTTTGACTTTTATTCCCTCCTAAGTGATATCAGTGGATCTTCTGAACATACTGAGTGAATTCATCTTTAGTAATTACTTCTTAGTATTACTAACACAGCTCCACTATTAGCACCAAGTATTGCAACGGGATTTTAGCTTCAACAGTGAGAACAAGAATACAGATTCCACATAGGGACTTCAGGCAATTAAGAGAAGAGGACTCTGCAGAAGATACTATTTCAAATTGGAAGAACTCATCAGAACGGGGTCTGCCTGTCTACACAATTGACAATCTAACTCTCAGATCCTGACATGTCTTTCCTTGAATGGCACCTCCCATGCAAAGTTAGGTTGGGCTAGGAAGACAGTCACACGAGAAGCAGCATGAACATGATCCTAAAAATAAATTTCAATAAGGTAATCTCGTAGCATGTTAGACTATGGGAGAACCAGAGGATTCCTCTTTTATCCAAAACTACGGATTGAAGAGTGGGCAGGGAAAGGTAATTGCTCTTTAAGAAGTCATCAAATTTCTCTGCTGAAAATATTTTACACCCAAGTTTAAAAAACAATCGTACCTGCTGAGTGTGTTGGGCAGGCTGAGACGGTACCGATGTACTACTTGAGGCTGACTGGCCTTGTACTTGTGTCTATAGGAAAAAAAAGACCAAGGGTCAGCTTTTAAAGAAAAATAAAAAACCACGCGGCTCTGCAGCAGGCAGTTAAAATAATTTCTGCCCGGAATGATCTGTTTCTAATCGTTTCTAGCCGTTCTTTTTAGACTAGCAGTTTACTTGGCCAAATTCCACTACAAAAACCAGAACAAAGTAGTGCAAGCTGGAAAAGCACCAAAATCCATTTTAAGTCCTTCAAAAAAGCAAAGTTTTTGCATTCCCAATGCCCCTCAAAATGAGACAGACCAGCCTACCAGCTTCTTCCTCTACTGATGATGTGTTAAAAACAGGATGCCTTGGTATGTACGGTAACTGGAAATATAGGCATTAAAATTTACCTTTACAAGTGTTCTGAACACAGTTAAGTGAAGAGGATAAAATAAGCTAGAAAAAAATAAAGCTGATTATAAAGATCAAAAACATACATACCAATAACAAAACACTCAATACATATACATATAAACTGTTTCTTTAGAGAGGCTTATCAAAATCCTAATTAAAAATCATTTCCAGACCAGCTATCAGCCAAGGATAGATATAGAGGAATCTGGGGCCATGTTCTAGCTAAGACAGAAATCTGAATGAATAAGCAACAAAAAAAAAAAATGGATGAGTGGCATACAAATGAATGTGAAAGATGCAAAAGAAAATGGAATGGATTTTCACCACTGTTTTTGTGACCAACATTCTTTGATTAGATCTTGGAGACAGTTGGACAAAGATCTCCACTAAGCTCCCTGAGCACGCACCACCTGTAAACTAATGGCCTTCATAAGAAACATCTGGAGCACAGGTATCATATCAGAAATAACTATTAAAATTTCTAAATGGTTTGCATATTCTGCCTGCAGAAGCTTATTAGGAAAAATTTTCTCTAAAATGTATTATTTTAAGGAAAGAACAGTGTCAATGAAAAGAACCGTTTTTTCTTTGTTGTTTTAGAAGCTTTGAGGCCCTTATTAGTTAGAATACAAATGTGTCCATTGAAATAATCTCTCTTCATATTGATTCAGTTTGAGACTTCACATTCCGATCTTCCAATGAATTAGATAACAGCTTCTGGAACTTGCATTCTGTAAAAATAATCTGAATCCCTTCTTATGATTTCCAGATGTCTTTTTCACCCATCACAAATCACCTGAAGTTTAGCAAAAGATGTTTATGGAGAAACAATCTCCAAGTAACTTTCAAATTTCCTGCACTGCAGTTTCACTCCACAGGTTCTCCTAAACAACAGAAATCACTATTTATTGCATCAGTGATTAAGCTGTTTCAGCTTAAAAAAAAAAACAAAACCAACAGCATCCTACATGGAAAGATTTAAGTATTTAATTCTTGATCTTACCACAATAAAGCAAAAAAGGCTCTCTTTCTTCTAGAGGAATAACAATGTTGCTTATAGCTTAATAGCTAGAGTATTCGAATTCTTAATTTCAAAAACAGAAAGAGTGAGGGAGTAAGAGATGTTTACTTAAAGTAAAGCCTCTCTTTTCACAAAAAAAAAAAAAAAAAAAAAAGAAAAGAAAACCATCTTCTCATGAGTTTCAGAATACAAGCACAGATACAATATACACGTCCACCTCACATTCATGGTGTACAAACTGAAGGATACTAGAATGAAAACTGCAATGGCATTTATCATACACCAACAGAACATATCTCCAGCTAAACTCCATGCCTCAGATTTTGCTTTTTAAAAAAGACACCACATTCTAGGCTTATAAGGAAGCAAAGCCTATATGAAGAATCATTTGTGCCACTAGCTAACTACTCAGCTTGCTCGGTTTCTTTGATAGTTCTGCAAGGGCACTTCCAAACCCATTTACATGTATATATACTGCCCTTAATTTCTCTCTTCCCACTTCCTTCCCTCAAACCTAGAAAAATCGCTTTCAGCTTTCAAGAGTCACGGAGTTAACCTGTTGTCCAATGAAACATTATTGATAGAAATCTTCAAATAACATTCTCATCAAACAGCTGAGGAACAGGAATAGCAGTACAAAGCAAGTGTTAGTAACACGACCAATACAAACTGCGTGGAAGACTCATTTCATTAAACCCATTGTTGAGAAGCCAATTTAGTACTTCAGCTATCTCTTTCCAAAACAGCATCTGATCCAAAAGAACACTGACCTTTTGTTATTCTTAACACAAAAGCCATACCAATACATCACCCAAAGCTGAACATAGACTGAGGGGTTGCTGATGCCTCATCCTTTAACTGTAACCTGTTAAGTTAAAGAGATCCTAGTAGACCACTGACTTAACGTAAAGACACCCCCATGAATGCTAAGATACTTGCTCCATGTGGTTCTAAATAAGAGCAAGGCTCCTCTTTAAGTGCAAAGTATGATTTACAAAAAGCAGAGAAATTCTGGAAGGATTTTCTCCTGTAACCTGAGGATAGTGTGCAGGTGGTCCTGATGAAAGCGAGGTGGACAAGGCCTGCTGAGTTGAGGCTCCCTGTGGGAAGCAGATGAAGAGCTGCGACTCTTGCAATACCTTCTGAGGCAGCTGAACAATGGGCAATGAGAAGTCTGAACCAAAAGCAGATGGTCCCCCTGTAGGGGGAGGAGACTGGAAATCGCCAGTGTCAGAGGAAGTCAGCTGTGAGGAATCACTGGAGTATTCTGGGCTTCCTTCTGGCCAGCTCCGACTGGCAGAACCCCCTCTGGGACCTGCTAAATCAGGACCAAGATAGTTATAACGTTCCTCTGTCACGGGCTGAAGCCGACCATGCAACCCTATGCCTTGAGTAGATTCCTCTTGACTGGTCTCCATTGAGCCCCGGCGACTTCTGTAGACCCGCTGGGGTAAAGCCGCCCCTTCTGCTGGAGCAGAACTCGGTGTGTGCACATGGAACTCAAAAACACAGCTTGTTCTGCCATCACCGCTGTGAGAGAGCACAGCTGGGGCAGAATGAGGAACAAATACCTGATGGAACGTCATCTGAGCAGGATCTGCACTCAGAGGAGCTGAAACACTGGATAATGGACTGGATAGAGGACTCAACCCAGCATCCAGCCTCAAGTTCTGAACATGTCTTGCCAGGAATGCTTGCCCCGATTGATAGTCAAACACAGAGCTTTGTGGAGGACCACCTTGCACATGCTTTGAGTCAGAAACCTGCTTCAAATGTTGTTCAGTCACGTGTGAGTTATAAGCTACTTGATCATACTGCTCCGATACCTGTGACGGATAGTGCATGCCCACCAAATATACAGCTTCTGGATGCATTCTGTAGTGAGCATCCTCTGGAGGTGTTGGTCCAGATCTATAGTCACTGTGTACAGGAGCTGGCTCAAACACAGGGTTAACTTGCACATGCAGAGGCTCTCCAGCGACTCTATGAGATGTTGTGCCCAGCATAACCAATGCCTCTGGTGTCCAATTGGTGGGACTACCACCAGGTGGAACTAAACTCTGGCCAGTCTTCAGCAATGGTTGGAAGTGGCAAGTTTGGGCTTCCAAAAATGAAGTGCTCTTGCGGCGCTGAGCAACTGCCACCTTCGGCGGGCAGACAGGTGGTGGTGAGAAAGACACCGGCCGTTCATGAACGGTTGGGAAAAATATCTGTGAATCTGGGAACGTTGGTGTTCCCCCACGCGGATGCTGAGGCTGTATTGACATGAACAAGACAAGTAATTCATACATTAAAAGTGAAAGCACATTAACATGCACAGTTCACTAGGCAGTTCTGTGAAGTAACTTTATAGAATGACTACTCAATTCATGGTCAAAAACATACAATACTTAGGAAAATTAGATGAGTTGTAAATATCCATTAAATACATCCGTGGCAGGCATGTCTACAAATGGAAACATTTGCTTGTGTTAAAGCTGCTTTTCCAGTCCAATTCCAACCACTCAGTAAATGTGAACATTGGTTTTGCTCCTGACAATGGAATGCAGTTTATTGTCATGGGCTATTCACTGCGGTCATTGCTTGAAATCCAATCTAACTCCGGACGTTACTGCCATATGGGCATATAAAAAAATCAGAACTTGATAGCAGTAACGACGCAGGGCCTCTAACTCGCATCTGGAAGATTAAAATGATATGAAAACTTAATACTATCTAATGTAAAAAACACAGTGCTGGTGTCCTGTCAGGAAGGTGCTCTGTACGGTATCCAGAGAGCTAAACAAAAATGCTTTCCAAGACTGAACCATACCAGCCTACGCATGAAAAAATAATGAAAAGAAAACTCATAAAAATGCAGCGTCTTCAGATTCCATCAAATTCAGTCATCCCTTTTGATCATTTTGATCCATTTGCATCATATCCTTTTCACATAAGAAATTAGCAGTCACTGAAGCAAATCCACTTTTTTTCCTGGACAACAATACATTCACAGGTTTGTCAACAAAAACTTTAAGTGATTCCACTCTTTATGATGTATTACTACAGATTAGGCTCATCTTAGTTAGGATTTCTGGGCAAAATTTCACTGACAAAAGTTCTACATAAGAATACTAAACAATTCAGCAATGCTGCATCTTTTTCATCGCTGCCTACAGTACACTGAAAGAAAATACTGCTGACACTAAAGGAAAAATAGTAAGAGTCAGCAGCAAATGTACTGTCTTGAAGACAAGAGCTACTTTCAACTTTTTCAAATTGCCTTTTGCACATTGTTCCATTTCCTTCCCATCCCTTCTTCCGGAAAAGCAGCAGCAAATTTCCATATTGACCAATAGTAAGAAGAAGGTCCTACTCCAATACTCCTGACTACATTCTGAAAGTTAGTTCTATATACTTCAATTGCAGATAAAAGTTTCTCGAAGCTTATTTTAAGTGAATAAAAGCCAAAAACTGAAAGAGGCTATCTTGCAAGCTGTCATGCATCTGACCTTTTGAAACACATGAAAATCTTCCCACCAAGCAGCAGCCGCTAAGGTGGCAACCACGATTAAAATGTAAGACTCCTCAAAAGTATTCATACTCTGAATTTCTACTATCACTATCACAGCAAGCCAAAGCTTCCGGAAAACCAGCCACAACAACTAAGCTTTAAAAGCCGGCTGTTTTGTGCAGGGCTTAATTAACATTCAATGCTTGGAAGTTGGAAAATGAAAAACAGTCTTCTGATTTCAGGGGAAAAGAACTAGTCTTCCCTTTAACTCCTGTGGTATAGCTGAATAATTTTCATTTATACTTTCCTAAAATACGAAATACACGGTCAAACACTGATCATGTTTTTGAGTGTACGGCTTGTCAATAAACAGTAACAGGAAAAAAAAACAAACAAGCTAGCAGCCCAGAAATGAGGAAGAATCATCTTTTCCTTTTCTCAATTTATAAATGCCTGAAGCCCAGGATGTATTTAATGATAACTTATCTTACTGTGCTGGGAGGCAAATGGTAACACATACAGGACTGACAGAGAGGGAGGGCAGGCTGGAGCGTCGATGCTTGCGTGGAGAGGCAGAGTGCATGGGCAGGACACTTTCCAAGGCTTTAGAAAGCTTTTCTGCAAAGGTTTCTTCAGGGACAGTCCGAAGGTAGAAAGGAGAGAGAGGTGCAGACAGCGCTGGTGGTGGGGTGCAAGGAGCACTGAGAGGGATGCAGGACATAGAGGGAAGAGCAGGAAGGTGGGGAACACAAACTGACATGCTACGACCACGTTGAGGCTAAAGGAGGAAAACAAAAGTTAAAAATTGAACACTTCAAAAAAATTAAAAACAAAACCAGCAAAAATTGTAATGATAGAAAAGAAATGCAGACACACAATGATAGGCCCAATACTGACTACTATGTGTGCAAGAAGATATGAGAATGCTGAATGAATGTTGACATACACCAAGAACAGGATGTGTGCACCTCTGAGGATTCAAGTTTTTTTTAGATTACTGAACAGTAAGGGAAGTTCCCTAGTGCCCTTCTAAGATGCATGTGGAAGGCAGAATAGATAAGAGAGAATGTTTTCCTTGGAGCCACCAATGTGGCCCACAGTATGTGTATTCACTACACTTAATAATGTGACAAATAAAAAACCTTAAGTTATTGATGGCCTTTCATTCATTCTTAGTTTAGTGAGTGCATGTGCTCTTACACCTATCGCCTCTCTGTAACCAGTCTCTCTGCTTAGGCAACTCCCTGAATGAAGTGAACTAAGAGGTTCCAGCTGGTTCTTTACCAACTAAAATGTTACCTAAAAAATTTTAGCGTTACACAGTCTACAAAACAGTTGTGGAAAAAGCTGTTTGAATACATGGAAAGTTTAGTTAGATTAGTCTTAGACAAGCATTTTCCAGACACTGAGCCAATACAAGTATCAAGGATTTTGTAATCTTGCCTCGAGACAGAAGGCCATAGGTCAAAATTCAACCCAACTGACAGAATCAGAATTATCCTTCTGTCTGGTTCTTTTTTGTTGTTATTTAGGCTTTGTTTTGTTGTTTTTTTTTTTTAGAATGATTGGAAAAATTATGTTTTAGAGAGGCAGCTTTTAAAAACTGAAATATTTCTCTAAAAATACATGCCCCTCTTTTGGATATAACTTCTGAAGATAACTGAAATCAAATACATAACTGAGAAAAAAAATAAAGTCAAGGTATCTAGCAGAGATCTAATTTAAAGTATTTCTCATATGAGAAACCTTGATAGACTGCTCAGTATTTTGGAGGAGAGACATCAGGAACCTCAAAGGGTTAAACATCTCACCCTTATCCTTCACTTGGTCCAAGTCAGGACCGGTTATACATGTCGTTCCTGACAAGTTTATCTAACCTGTTCAGAAACAGCTCCAGTAATGGAGTCTAGAGTAAACAACTGTCCTTTCTAGTTAGAAAAAAATCCTTTTCTAAACAAGAATTCCTTGCTGCAATTTAAGCTTATTATTTTTGTTATATCTGACAACAATGTTGTGATCTGATTAGCCTCTATGTATTTTATGGTGGCCTTTCAGCTTTCTCTGTCCTCAAGCTCATCTTCCACAGACTCAGCTCTTTCAGTCAACCCACAAAAACCATGTTTCCTGTATTCTTGGTGTTTTTTGTCACTCTCCTCTGAATTCTCTCCCCATTCACACTCTCAACTTCCTTCATCAGGCAGAGTGTCCAAAATAGACTTAACAATGGCCAAGAAGAGCAGAACTACTTCACAAAACATGATGTTTGTCTTTTACACAATAGCATGATGTTTTTGACCATGTCCAGCTTGTGGTCCAATATAATCCCTGACTCTTTCTTTTAGTGGTGGAATTGCTGCCTAGTCAGTTGTTGCTCATCCTGTACTTGTGTAGCTGATTTTTCCTGCTTAGGCACGAAACTTGCTCTCGTCCTGATTGAATTGCATTCTACTTCTTTTAAAGGTTATTTCTCCAGATGTCAATTTCATTTTGACTTGTCATCCTGTCTTCCCAACAAAGTCTTAGTAGTTCTTGTAGCGTTCTACTCCATTCTGTTAACCTTCCGGTACCGCTGTTGTCATCAGAGCACGAGCACATTTTAGGATTTAACTGAGCAGCTTGACTATACATTTGTAGTGTGCTTGTTTTCCCAACCTCTCTCAAAAGGTCATGGTCTTTCAACCTGGAAACTAGCCATCCCAAGGCAATAAATGGCTTCTAGTCCAAGACATACTCACACATCAAAGTATGGCTTAACCAGAGCAGTAACTTAGTTTGAGAGCTTGAAAATTCGTTTGCCCAAGGACTAGCAGTACCACAAAACTACAGGTTATGACTGAAACCAGCATGTTTTCCAAAAATCTAGGAACACCGATTTTGTAATAAAGTCCACAAGCGCAGGCAGCAAAAAAGTGAGGACTCTTTTAAGTCCTGACTGTCACATTATCTTCCTGTATGGCTTTACCATACTATAAGATATCTCTGCCTTAGGTTTAGATTTTTGTATAAAAAAAAACAAAAACAAAACGACAAGGGAACCACTGAAGACAATATAAGAGTAGCAGAAGTTTTACTCCAGTGCTGGAATAGACTTCTGAATGTTCTTGTACTCTGATCTAAAACATACCAAGGGAAGAACGTACCAAAATAAAAGGGCCACACAAATGAACATAGTAGGAGAAGTATTTGTGCCCAGTGCAGACTTTCCAGGGACAAGGAATACGCATGGCAACTGATGAGCAAATCAACACAAGCTAGAAATAATATTGGGAACAAGGATGTGGGGTCCTCAGTCTGGAGTACTCACATGCAGCATTCTATAACAGTTAAAAAGAGCTTACCTGCAGAATCTGTAAATCAAAGCCTCACAGACATACATAGCAATATCATACTTCAAAACAGCAGCTTAAATTATTCTAATCCTTTCTTCAAATCAAAGCAATAGCTAAATATTTGGTAACTTCACATATATACAAAACACCTTCCCAAGTGAGATGAAACGCTCATTTTCATGAGACAGTCTCGTACTGAGGATGTTACATCCATTACAAATCCCAACCTGTCATTCTGCTTAAGTGTACTCAAGATTTAATAAAAACTTTTTTTTAAAAGAAAAATATTTCCTTTTATTTCATTGAACTAGATTCAGTCACCTTGTAAAATAGGAATTTTAATGCTCCCATGCAGAATTTGTATTGCATGGAAAGCATACATGAAAGAATGCCTAGCAGACTTTCTTCTCACCTTCAAAAAAAGAAAACAAAACCAAAACAAAACAAAACAACCCTCAGAACTAAATAATTCCATGCATTTGCAATACTTTTAAGTTCTGGCTTACCACTGTAGGTGGCTGATATCCTCCATGCTGTTGTGACTGCACTTGGCCAACTGAAGCCGCATACCCCTGGACTGCAGCAGTTGAGATTGGCTGGTCATGCTGGGAACCATACGACACAGTCTGCTGACTGCTCACACACGATTCAGTATAAACAGATGACCCTTGGCCACTATCAACTGCTCCATCAGCTACAGAAAATAAAGACAAAAAGAACTGCAAGACTGGATTCATAATTCAAGTATTACTATCAAATATTAGATTGCATTTGTGTCACATCACAATGACCTTATAAGCATTTTACCCCTTCTAATATTTACAATGGTGCAAAAACCATGAGTTTTCTTTTCTCCAATATACTAAGTAACTCCCTACCAGTAAGCCTTCCCCTAGCTTCTGAAAATCAGTCATTTCAGGAGTTCTTTGGAAATATACTTGCCAGTAAATTATGCTCCCTATTAAATGCTGAACTAGAAACAAAAACCTAAATTCTACTTTGTCATGAATGATGTTTCAGGCTCGCTTATTGTCTTGTTTTGTTTGCTTTTCACTTTTATTTTATTTTTCATAAAAGCATGAAACAGGTCAATTGTACAAGCTGGCAGATGCAACTAAAATAAGCATAACAAAGAACTTAAAATCTCTATTACCTTATAACAGATCATAATTTGCTTGCTAACTTCTGACATGGAGCTTCTCATTTAATATCATTATTCAGATACTGATTCTAACATTGGGATGGCAGGAGAGTTAGGCGTGTTAACTTATGTGCTCGTGTTTAGTATGTAGAACAGGCAGTGATTTTTTTTTCAGAAACAGAACCATGATCTGAAATACCTGCATCATTTTTGTCTTAAAAATATTAAGGCAATTCAGATTCCAGACTCCCTAAGGGCAGGTGAAATAGTGTAAGTGCAAGAGTTCCTAAAGAAATCAACTGACACACTTACAAAGAATAGATATACTGGGTTGCTGGAACTGCAGTTGTTGGTGTTGATCAGCTTCTGGTTCTTCAGGCTCCACTTGAGTAGAAACAGATGCTGAAGTAGTGGGGACAGGAGCAGTACCACTGACAGATACGGGATGCTTTGACCCTGCATGGGAAGCACTTGAGGGTTGCTGTTGCTCCAGCTGCTGCTTCTGACTACCTTCTTCCTGAAGCTTCTTCTCCTGTTCTTCTCGCACCAACTGACGCTGCTCTCGCTTTCGCTTAATCAAAGATACCCTGTCCTTGATAGCTTTCGCCATTGTCTTGTGATCCCCTTCACAGACATAGCCAGATTCCACCTGAAGGAGGATATATTCACAGAATTCAGACTGTCATAGACAGCCACTATTGTGCTACAATATAGGCTATCACTCTCTTGCACTAACTTCTCATTCACAGACTTCTGAAGCAGTTTTATTTCTAGACAGTAAGAGTAAATGCAAAGGCTGATAGGTGACATGTGACTGTCAAAGAATGCTATTACCTTCAATGTTTTGCCAGACTGCCACCACTTACCATTTCCTGTGCCACATCCTCTGGGACATCTCTCTCCAAGTCAAAGGAAAACTCTATTGCCTCATTATCTTTATATTTGCCCTTAAGTTTTTTGATGTCTTCAATTCGCAGCCAGAGTTTAATGGCAATTTTTTCTCCATCATCTTCTTCTGCTAGTTCTACCCGTACTCCAGTCTCTTCTTGGAAGAAAGCATGATTCAAAAGGTCCTTAATAGCATATCTAGCAGATTGGAAAACAATGTGGAGAGCACATACACCGTTAGGTTTTCATCAAATATTAAAGAATATCCTTGCCTGACAACCTCCCGAATTTATCATCTACATTTCATACCTCCTCTCATTAACCACTTGACAGCTCATCATGCAAATTTCTATCTAAAAGTATGATGAAGGAATAAAATGCAACAGCTCTACAGATTTAGGAAAAAAAAAAGTCACACATTGGTTAGCAGAAGTGCCCACTGCCTAAAATTACGAGCCTTGAAGGGACAGTTTGGTTTTACTGAAGATTAAGATCCAACACACAACTCTTAGTCCCCAGATCAGTTCAGCAGTCATAAAAGCTATTTCAGTCTATTTAAAGATATTGACAAAAGTCTAACCTAGTTAATTCAGCACTAGTGAAGCACCTTTCATATCTGTACTGTTTTCAACCATTTCAACTTGCACAGTTTTCCACAGTTACCTTTGTCCAGAAAGTACAAAAACATTAGCAATATATTCTTATATTCACAGAGTGTAGCAGTAGTCTGAAAGCTAACTGGTTAAGGTAAAAGGCAAGGAACAAGTGCCATGCATTCAGAATATTAGTTCAGAATTGGAAAAATACATAATTGCTTTAAACATTTAAATTTGAAGTCTAAAGTACACAGCAACAGCATTAGACGTAAAACTCCAAGAATTAATAGAAGACAACTCTACACTGACAGAACAGGCTCAGAACAGAATAGTGAAGAGCTAGAAAAAGACAGAAGATTGAAGCATTCTTAACTCCAACAATCTACATAAAAGCAACTACATAAAAGCAAAAACAAAAACAAAAAAAAAAACAACACCAAAATCCATTAATAAACCATTAGAACAGCTACAGATTTTCTGCAATGGTCTAAGCTAATCACTTCAAGCCAAAATAATATTGCAGAAAATTTGAACGTAAACAAACATCAATAACTTCAAAAATAAAGAGCTCTCAAGATAATTAGCTATAAATGCCAATGGAATCAAAGGGACAGAAAAAGAAAAAAGAAAAACAAAAAAACCAACAGAGCTACAGAATGAGGAATCCCATTAATCCCATTAAGTGGTAACTTGGAAAGATCCTTATATGCTATTTTACTGATTAGATCAAAATTTTAGTAAGAACAGTAGAACTTCTGAATAATATGGATGGTTACTACAGCATTTGCACTTTGCCTTGCACTAATGCAGTAAAACAAGTGTTAAATGAGAACCTGCCAGAGAAAGAACCTGCAGAAATAATATTCATTTTCTAACTTGCATCAGATCCCAGTAATTAACTATATCTAGTATTAACAAGTTACAGATTCAGACAAAAGTAATATCTCTATCAGTACGGGAAAGAAAGCTTACCTTTCGCCTTTGTTTTGCCGAATGCATCCCTCAATAATCTCCTTCACTTCAGGGATCGCTACTTTATCAAAGCTGGCGGGCTTGACACCCTGAAACATACAAATAAGAAGAAAAATCTGGAAGGCTCACTTGACTTAAGTGTTGTTTGTGCAAATATTCACTTACAAACCGACTGTTTTTATTCAACATGTACCTGGGCAGAATTCCCCACTAGTGGAGGTTGCAAGGAAATCTACCCCCAATATTATTGTTCATCTGTTTGCTAGTGACTTTTTCAAACGTGGATTTTTTCCAGCATTTCTTGATTAGACTTCCATAACAGAAGGTTTCAACAGTTAGGTGCCAGGCTATAAGCATAAGCTTATCGTGTCATTTTTTTCTACAGAAGGTATGATGATCAGAGGAAAAAATGTTTCCTATTGAACACTAACGCAAGAACCCATAAGATTGACTTCAACAGTCTTTAAAGGATTCTGCTGCTTCCCAGAATGTTCCTAACATGCCATTAGATGAAGTAATTTTGGCAGAATGATTTTATGGGAAAAACAATAGCTCAGAATGATCAGACTGGATCATTATATAATGTGAATAGTGTTTAAAAAAGAATGGGAAAGGAAAAAAAATATATCTTTACATCTTAGCTCTTCTCAAATCTAATAATTTCAAACCACGCTCTTGTACGATTGCTGTTTTGAGTCCAGGAAAGTGAGCTTCACAATACACACCTTTCCAAAAGCCCTTCAAGAATGTATGATGATTCTTTCTTCAGTACATGTTAAAGCCATTGGGGACAGATAGAAATAAAATCTAAGTGCAAGCAACTGCTCATTTCAGTCAAGTAACTAGACCATGAGGTTTGACCAGTTGGGAATTCTGCAGATCGCTGCAGACACAGAAAGCCAAACTCCATCACTAAATCATGGCCAAGAGCTCTTTTTCAGGGGGCAATTGTCCAAACCAGCAAGACTTGGCGCTCAGTTTTACTTGATTCAGCCTTTAGCTTCAAATTCTGTATTTTAAGATGGAAGAAAGCAAGGATGGAGCCACCTTGTTCAAATGCTGTTTATGTGATGTGCCCAAACTTTCAAGTCAAACAATCCTGAAATCAGTATAATTTGATGCACAGTAACATATAGTACTGAGATAGCAACATATAATATTAATTACCACATACACTGGACACATCTGAGCCTGTGTAACTGGTGAATCATAAGTAAAAAAAATGAAAGAAACAGACTCAAGCACAGATACAAATGAAGAAACAATACAGACAGCATGATCTGTGTCTTAATGAGGAAGTATTTCTCTCAGTGTATCATTAGATATCCCTTCTCACCCAAGTGGAATATGAAAATATAGCACTTCTTTACTGTCAGTGCAAAGGAAGCCTTGAAATGTAAAGAGTCAAGTCTCAACCAGAGCCTTTGCAGCTGCAGACTTTTATTTAACTGAACGTTGACTTAATACAATAGTAATTTTTAATCTACATTTAGATATTGTTTTTCTTGGCCAAACATGGCAGCATATTGATTTCACGTGTTCACAACCTAATACATTCCCTACCATGCTCTTCCACGAGGGGGCACAGTTTACTTCAAACATATGCAAAAACAAGTCTGGGAGAGCATAGCATCCAGTCTTTCAGTGAAGAACTGCACTATTCGTCATTGTGCAAAGGTGTTGTGAATGCATCTGAAATTTGGTGATCACATCCAACATTTGAAGAGAAAGGAGAAGAACCATAGAAAGACACAGATCTTTCCCTTAGTAAAAACCTCCTGTTACAACAACATTCTCAATTTTCTACTTAGAAGCTCTAAAATTTGTCCCTATGACATTTCAGCAATTGAGATTACAGAACTGAGGAGTGTACTGCGACAAGACTAAGATCTGAAACACAGCCTGTCAGCATACGTTAATTTAACACTAAAAAGCTTCAGTGAAAGTAAGACTTCTGGAGATAAATGCCTCAGCTGATAGCAGGTTTGCCTGAGTACACTACAATACTGTAGCCAGGTCATACCACAAATCTCCCGCTTTCCAGCAGGATGCCACAAAGCAATACACTCAGTGAATTTTATTAAACTGCTTTTAGCATTTACTGCTTGCATAGAATGCCTGTGTATTTGTCTCTGCTCACATGGCAGATACACCCATCTTTTAATATGTGGCTGAGCTTAAAATAGTCCCAGGAATTCAGGTTCATATATGCACAGAATGAAATGCTCACTTATATTCATATATACTCAGATAATCTGTGCAATAGTTATTTGTCTGGCTGTTGTATAGATTTGTATCTAAATTTGCCAGAGAAGTTGTCTAAAATTTAAACTTATCTAATACTCCTAAGCAGCCCAACTTCCAGCCATAGCATCTGCCCACCTGCACGCTCATTTACACTGCGGCAGCAGAAGGAAAGTGTCAGATCTGTGGCACTATCTTATTTTAGAAAACCTAAAAACTAAGATGAATATAAGACAAAAAAGCATTAACATAGGGAAACCAGAACATGAGCCTTGTTGGTGACTATTTGATCACATGCTCTCTTCTTGCACAATGCCTGAAGAGAAGTAGCTAAGAAAACGTTTTTAAATTGGGGACTCAGTCTGCTACTCTGTATTCCTCTATCCTGAAAGATGTTAAGTAAACGTCCAAAAACTTCAGGACCTTCCATGAGGGCCACCTTATAGTACTCCATTTCGTGAATTAAAAACAAAAACAAACAAACAAAAAAAAAAACAGTTAAGAAAAAAGCTCTCCCCAGCCAAGTCTTTCGCCACCATAGCTTCCATAATTCTGAAGTTTCCCTCAGAAAATCTCAGATACATTCACACTGGAACCTAAAACTAATATAGGATTGGGTGTTCAAGCAGCTGCCTTTCTCAGCTTCTTCCAAAGTCAGTTAGAACTGCCTAACTGGTCAAGAATCCCTTAAACCAAAGTTCAGACTATGCTCAGCTTTGAAAATCAGTTTTTCTTTTTGACTGCCAAAAGTGAAAGACCGCTTCACATAACAAGACAGAAGATAGTATTAATGGTAATCAATAAATCAATGATCCTTTTCTACACAGAGATGTCCTTCCCTTGTAATCATGCCATCACAGAGAAACCAGAGGGGGACCCTGTGATTCAAATAACCTTCACGTGTCCTTAAAAGCTCATGAGCTGCGCAGCCAGGCATACTTTCATTAGATTCTGAACCCAAAGGCACTGTAGTCCTCACTGTTTCCTGGTTTTAACACTGCACACTTATTGCAAAATGGCCTCATTCACACATTTTCTCCCCAGTCCCCAAATTGCTCAGAAAAATCATAGGACTTTTTTTTTTTTTTTAATCTATTTGTTCCACTGTCCACTGGAAATTCAATCAGAGTTAAATACCCAAATACTATTACAAATTGCAATTTACAAATTTGTTAAGGCAGTGAAAGGAAGAGCTCTTGCAGACTAAAATCTTGTATCTAGGTATAACAAGTACATTTTCTCAAGCTATTATCTACATCATCATAAACTGACATGGCTGCTGAAAGCAGCAGCGTCCTGTTTCTCCATCTCCCATTCCCACATGCCTGTCATTTCCTCCCTAAGGCTGGCAAAAGCATTTACACAGCTGCATAATGAACCAGATCATGGTGTTTAGCAGACTTGAAACAAACTCAGCCAAAAAAGCCTGCAGTGGTTTCCAGTGAGACCAAGATCCCCAGCCTGGTTTGCTGCATCGTTGCAGTAGCGCCCACACTTGCACATGGAGTACAAGTGTTGCAGCTGATGCGAGCACAACCGTGTCTCTTGAAAACAACGCTAAGAAAGTAGAACCCACCAAACACATTTTAGGAAGGCATCCAAACCTTTACAATGTTGGTGTATATACAGGCAGCGCAAAACACAACTTAGGCAAAGCTGAATGCTTTATTAGTACTTATCTTAGTCTTCATGTTAAGTACAGGAGATTATCACAAGGAAGACAAGTGAAATGTAAGAAGTTTGTGATTTTAACAGGTTTAAATCAGGTTTTAAAAAAAAAAAACACACACACACACAACTGAATTTGAAAATTGCAACACCCACATTTGTATGGTTATACGATCCGCTAAAAGCAAGCTCTGTACTCTTAGAAAATTACACATTTTCAAGCTTTTGAACATGAGAACTCCCCTTAACAACTTTTGCCTAGAAGTATGTAGTAGTATTTTACATGAGTTAGCACACCAAATAAATGGATAAGTAGATTATCATCTCACTCTAATTCAAAATATACTGAAAATATTGCAAGAGAAGGTACAATCAGTGCTTTTTACACCATGAAAATAGTGAATACAATGTCAACATGCCCTGAGAACTTTTTAAAAAAATTTTTAAACAGTTCAGTGGAGAGCAACACAAATAGGCAATAGCAGCAGCTAAGTGTTCTAGCTATTCTGAACAGGATTTGAATATTCATTAGGAAGTTGGAGGAAAAGTACAATCAAGTTCAAAAGCTAAGGGCATTCTAAGCAAATACAAAGCAGCTCACACTTGTTAGTAAATCTGATTCACTACCCCCAAATCCTTCACCGCTCCTATGCAATTTTTCTAGACTTGACATTCTCACCTACCTCTTTAGTGCAATCCTTGTGAGAGCAGCAACAACAGTGGGAATTAACAATTACAAATACGGGACCGACCTCCCTTTTTGTAAAATCCATCAGGAAAAGAGAGACTTGCACACCAGCGTTAGTTGGGTGCTAGTTTCCGATGGGAATCCCTCAAGCTGTGGGTTTAACGCACAGCAGAAGGAAAGCAGACATCGAAGTTAGAAGGGAGCATTGTTTTTTCTTTGACTCCTCTTGTACTCTTCCAAGTGCAGTTCATGAGGCTGCAGAGATTCAAGCTTAATATCGGCTTTTGTCACTCAAATTCTGAATAGAAATAATGACTATAAGAGGTGAGCTCGTCCTTTCCAGCCTGTCCAGTTGGTTGCAAGGAGGAGGAAGAGAAGGCAGCACAGAAAGCCTTTACTTTCTGCTTGTCTCCGCCTCCCCATTGAGCTGCTCTGCCTATTCTCCACCTGTTTTCTGCCATAGTTTAAGGCTGTATGCAGGAACATCAC